GCAGGTAGTGCTGGATTCCTTCAACTAGAGAATGGTCATCCAGCTCATTCAGACAGTGGAACAGATTGATGGATTTCTCTGCTGTGGGATTCTCTCTGATCTTCTTCTTGATGTACTGAACTGTTTCGTCTTTGCTGTGGGAGGTACTTCTGGTCCATGTCACCAAGTCTTGCAAGACAGTCTGACTGGACTCCAGTGAAAGACCAAGAAGAAAGTGAGGAAAAAGGTCCAGATGTCCATTCTCACTGTGTAAAGCCTGATCCACAGCACTCTTGTGTACATCTGAGATAGTAATTTCTTTCCTCATGAAGTTGTTAAGTCCAGGGAACCGACTCTGTCATGGAATGGGGGTGCATCAGCACATGAGTGGCAAATGTGTGAAGGTACCTTTGACACAGAGCTGTATATTGTGATTTCAGAGAGACGGATGCTGCTATCAAGATGCCAATAAAATGTAATATTTCAAACATTCAAATATTTCAATAAAAGTTATATTGATATTTTTAGTAATGGAAATGCTGTCATCACATTCCACAGAAAGACTCATCCTGCTGATCTGGTTTAGCAAAACCTGTGAAACATTAACATTTAATGCCTTTGTACAACACAACCCCGCCACTTAAAAATGTTCCCTCATTAGTGGCATAAACTACACATTAACATGCCAAAAATTAGACCACCTTATTCATCAATGCTTTCTGTCTGCATGTGGATGGTACCTAATACAGTTAAACACATAAGGACCATGTGTTTGAATGTAGTCCTCCCAGATATAGAAAATGATTATAGAAATGTTAACAAAAAGAATCATGTAAATGCTAATACATTCTCATAGTTGAATGGAAGAAAAAAAAGGTTGGAACAAATGTAACATAGCCTAACCTTTTGTGATAGCCAAAACATCTGATAAATGATTAACATCTATACATCTTCTTACCTTTTCTCAGTAAAGCCTGTGGCATAAATCATGTCTCCATGTCGAAAACAATGCCTTTGTCGCTGCAACACCACCAAACTATCTTTTTTTTTTATTTATTTTATTCTTTTTTAGATCCCCCCACCCCCTCCTGAAAACCAGGTAAGTATTCAGATACTTTTGTTTTTGTTATTTAATACACTTCCAGTGCATATATCCACTTCAAATTTACACATATAATATCTTTGGAAATTGTACCTATAAATAATAACAAAAAGGTGAAGGGAAATTCTGAAAGTTCTCAGGGACAAGATTATTAAACAGCTCTTGAATGGAAAAAGCTATAGAGCCATAGTAAAGACCCTAAAAAGACCCTGTCAGTTTAATTAGTTCAATTATGAAAGAAGAAAGGTCACAGAACCACAACTTCTTGTCCTCAACAGGTGCGCCATGCAACATTTCATTCAGTTTAATGATAAAGAAGATGAGAGAAGCCAGCAGTCACCCAAAAAGAGTTCCAGAATAACCTACAAACAGCAGGAACAACAGTTACAAAGAGATCAATAAGTAATGAACTACACCACTATCATCTCTGTTCCTACACCTCATGCAAAGTCATCTGCTAAAAACCAAGCACAGAGATACATGTTGAAAATTTGCACTTGAGCATTTTGACCAATCAGAACTCTTTTGAAACAATGTGCTCTGGTCATCTAAAACAAAACTAGAACTCTTTGGCAATAATTCAGCTCATCATGTTTGGAGAAAGAACTGTTATGTGTATGATTCCCAGAACACCAAACCCACAGTGAAATATGGAGGTGGGAGCATCATGATATGGGGCTTCTCTGAAAATGGCACTGGGGCATTATGTGTTATTGAAAGAAACTCAATTACAGCAATGTAGTGGGATATATTAGAGTAAAATTTTATCTTGTCAGCCAAGAAAGAAGGTAATGAAGAAAAAGACTGACATCTCAACAAGATAGTGACCTCAAGCATACAGCCAAAATAACTCAGAAAAAAAAGTTTCTAAAAGATGACTTTATCTGCTTGACTGGGCCAATCACCTGACTTCAATCCCATTGAAAATCTAAAGAGGATTTTGAAAGGATTTTTGAGTCCACCAGAGGGACCCTCGTAACCTTGGGGAATTTAAGATGCTTTGCCAAGAAGAATGGGCCAAAATTTAACCACAACATTAGAGTTAGGATTAGGATCATATTATGGTTATGATTATGATCATAGCTAGGATTAGGGATAAATTCAATTGAATTTAACAGATACATATTGAATGTCAGTTCAAATTGACTGAAGTTAAGCATCTACAAAGCATCTACATTGGACAACCTGCCGAATAGTGCTGCTTATCTACATTAACTACATTATATTAACAATGGAAGATATAAATTATAAAGTTTAGTAACTACTATGAAACTGATGTATATGTTATGTAGTTAAGACAGTGAGGAACTTTGGAGTCACATACATACTATGTACATAATTGTCCTAATATCTGTACTTATCTGTATTAAAATTTACTCTTAATGAAAAGAATTCAAGTCAGTTTGTCATCAAGATTTTTCATCATATTCTCAGAAAATCAAGCTCCTGAAGACCTAAGAATTCTTATTATTTTGCCATTATTGGCAGGTTTACGCTTATAGTTATGGTAGGTGTTCTCTCAGTTTAGAACAACTGCAATGTTACAGTTGTAGTTTCTTTAGTTTTGTATGAACTACACTGTAAAAAAAAAAAGATTTGTTCTTGTTAAAAAAACTAGGTAAAATGGCTGCTTCTTTTGAATTTATTTAACTTGCTGTAAGTTAATAGAGTTAAGTTACTTAAAACACCATTTTATTTTAAGCGTTAAGCCACAGTACCACCATATGGACAGCAGATGGTGCAAAAAAGTTGATTCAGTAGGTCTCCTTCTACAGAGTGCTCCCTGTACCTGAGTCCCATCATTATCATTATCCCATTATCTCACTATTATCATTATGATATTACAACGCTCAAGTCATTTTTTTTTTTTCCTAACCACATTGGTGCTGACACAGAGGATTATGGGGTATGTAAGGGAGTGAAGGATAAATCTAAGCTGCTTTCACAAACTGGCCGAACAGAGGAACCTCAGCAGGCATTTTATACAGACATCAGATTCAGACATGACTGCGTGCCTTATTGCCTCAGCATTTATTATATTTCAGGCACAGCCATAATTAAGGAAGAGCAGACGGTTCACTGGTTGAAAAATGAACTGGAAAGCTTGTAATGCTGCATCTGTTATTTGTTATTTACACCATTTAAAAACAGTGAGTGCCACTCAAAAGATGCATTTACCAATAGGGATGCGGAAAGTGGGGGTGCAGGGGAGACTGCAGTACCCCCTAATTTCAGGACTGCAACTGCTAAAAACAAAAATGATAATAATACAGAGATCTGAGCTTTTTATTAATTTGAGCATGCAAAGACTCATTTTCCTTTTTTTTATACCTTTTCAAAATCTGCAGAACCTGTGCATTACAGCTGGTCAAATCATTTCCCTCAACAAATGTTGACGGCCTTGGATGTGTGACACTAAAATACAAACAGCTTGAGGTTCAAAGAGAGAAAGTGTGTGCAGAATAGAGACCCGGTTTGAACCCCAAACTAATACTGTTAATAATAATGTTAACAGTTATATTATTATATATATTAACTATTATGTCTCCCGCTCAGTGTGCATTCCAGTGGTAAATCTTCCTGCATGACTTTGGGCTACTTGGTTACTGCACCACATACACTATATGAACAAAAGTATTGGGACACCCACACATTACACCTACCAGAGCTTTTAAGACATCCTATTCTGGATCCATAGGCATTAATGGGGACTTGGTCCCCCCTTTGCAGCTATAACAGTTTCCACTCTTCTGGGAAGGCTTGGTATGCTAAAGCATTAAGTTTCCCTTCACTGGAACTAAGGGGCTTAGGCCAACCCCCGAAAAAGAACCCCATAGTGTTATCCCTCCTCCACCGCAGTTGGCACAAGCCACTCAGTTAATTAGAATAAAGTTTGTCCAGAATGAAAGAGCAGAGAGAAGATGTGCATCAGCATTCTGATCTGTCAGTTTTATTTATATATTGGTGTCTCCCATCTCATTTTAGAGCAGTATGAGACATTTTGTTTGATGTAAAGTTTTTTAAAAATTAAAATGGAAAAAAAGCTAATAATTTAGCATGACTTCATCATCATGTCTATGTATATGCTGCTCAAAATTTCTGTACCCCCAACTTAAAGCACCTTCCTGCATCTCTGCATACCAACAACTCATGTGAGTAAATCAGGTACACTGCGCACAGGCCACTTCGCTAAAAGTGATGAGGAAGTGTCAATTTGAAGACACTGTAGAAATGTCATTTTGTTGGTTCATTTATTTTATTGTTGGGTGAACAATTCTATCCATCCAGAGTCAAGCAATGAGACCCAAAGTCTCTGAAGGATCTGGAGAGATCTATGGAGAAAAGATCTCACATCCCATTATTCTCCCACATCTTTCAACATTAAGACAAGTGATGTTTTTCTTAGCAAAGATGCAAAAAAACTAAACACAAAGGCGCCGATAATAAAAGAAAAAGACAGTGGTTGATTAGAAGAATAGAACATGGCTAATCGCACCCAACGTAAGTTCCCTGGGTGAAAAATCAGTTGCATGCATCATTTCTTCTGTAATACTTAGTTAAGCTTCCATTTGACAATGACAGCGGCAATCCTGTCAAGTAAGCCTTATGCCAGTCTTTTGAGATTTTGAGTTCCTGTCCATTTGACATAGTTCCTGACCACTGTTTTACTAACCTTGTGATTCATGTCCCAGAGGAAAACAACACTGATACACTCACATTCCAGGATGACAGTTTCTGGAAGACTGACAAATGTGTTGAAAATACAGCAGGTGAGACTGATATAATCCTTACCTGACAGGACTGATACTGTTAAGGCATATGAGTGCTTAACCAAGAATTAAAAATCATACGTGCAAGTATTTTTTTATGTCTACTGAGTTTATATATAGCCATACAGGTTTTATTACAAGAACTCATTCATAGTTTGAAGATGAAAAATAAACACAAGCAAATGTTTCAACACAAAACATGAAAGATGTAAAACTCAAAGTGTGAAGTACTTTCCATGTGCCATTCCTGACACTGTGAACATTAAAATTTCCACTAAAGTTAATCAGCCTGAAAATTCTGAATGAGAAGAGTTCAAAAACAATTACTGCCCAATTACAGATCTTTAGTAACAGAACAATGAACTGATGTTGGTTATCTCAGGTTAACTCATTAATGCCAACAGTCCTGGAGAAGTCTGAAAAGTTGTATTTCTTGTGATCTGTGCAGGGTTTAGTGGTCGACAGTCATCACCAGATCTCAAAGCGTTTATCATTTAGGAAGGGCTTTTTATCTGTGATTCTGTTGTTGAAGAGCCTGTAGAAACAAGAATACACATTTATTACAAAGATCAATTAATACATATGCACAAAGATATACATTCATCAGGCACTTTATTAGAAACCCTCCCTGTTGCTTCACTGTGCTGGTGTACAGTTAGAGACAGTAGCCCATATCTTGATGCAGAGTTTTTGTTAGCCATCCTATAGCCTCGTTTCTGACCACATTACAAAATTAGGAGACATTTTCACAACACATGATATGCATCACAATAGTCCATTTTGTGAGGTGAACAAGGTGAAACAGATAAAATGCACCAGCTAAAGAGTAGTGCAATAAACTATGAACATGAGGAACGTCAAACAATAAATAATATACATATAATAGATGCATAAAAAAATAGGTTGACATCCGGTCAGTTACATTTTACTATGCAGTTTATGCAGTTACTATACACTAGTTGCTGTTTACAGACTTTCTATAATTGGTCTAAATCTGTCTTTTTTATGATTCAGGCAGTTGTACAATGTTCTAGCAGCACTGATGATACACATGATATTCTCAGAGAAGCATTTTGTGACAAATTATCACCATAATGACAAAATATCGTTGGATCACCTGCCTCTACTTTGCTAGATATTGTTGGGTGGTGAACTGTTCTCAGTCTAGCAGTAACACTGGTATGTGTAAGCGATCCTGTGGTCAGGAACTGGTCAGTGACTAATGAGGTAGAGAGGAGATAAATCAAAAACAGTGGGTCGAAGTCTCTAATTGTACACCTACATTTGTATACAAAAGATGCAAACACCTCAGGTCAAACTAGATTTTTTGACTTATTTTCACTTAGAAAATCAACATCACATCCTCCATAGCGGAGGTTTCCAAACCCATTCTTGGTGACCCCACGCTCTGCACATTATTGTGTATCCTTACACTACACACCTGACCTAGACCACAAGGAGCTTGTTCATTAGTTTAAACAAAGAGTTGAGTCAGGTGTGCTAGATGAGACATAACACAACAATGTGCAGAGTATGAGGTCATTAGAACTGGGATTGGAGATCCCTGCTCTACGGGGAACAAACATTACATTATTTCCAATGTTAAATTCAGCAAATAATCAGCAATTGTGCATTATGCATTTGAAGTGTTTTCTCTATAAAGTATGTGTTAACTTATTTTCACTTAGAAAAATTAATAAAAATATAATTGGAACAGGGGTACCCAAACTTTTGCATATGACTGCATACAGTGGACCTGTAAGGTACAGTAGGTGGAGCTCAAAGTAGAAGTACAAGTTTGTAATATAGCTAATATACTCTCTAAATACACAATATACATTGTACCAAACTCACCGGACTGTACGTATATTGCTGCTAATGAAGACAATGTTGTAGATTCTTCCTGCTAAATTGTCGCTGATGTTATTGTGACTCAGACTGGAAAATGAAAACAAACACCATGATGTTTGTTTAGACAGTAAAATACATTGCAGTCGTGCATCAGCACACATACATTGAATACTCACTCCAGCACATCTATTTTATGGAGGTGTGAGAGAAGCAGGTCCAGGCAGTGGTCAGTAAGCCGGCAGTGGCTGAGGTCCAGTTCTGACAAGCCTTCAGTGTATTCCAGAAACAGCGCCAGTGATTTACAGACCTGCAGGTCCAGCTGAGTCTCACTCAGGTCCACCTTTCCACCCATGGCCTGAGAGAGAGCTACAGCGAACTCAGTCCCCACACAGACAAGAGCCAGGAACTGAAGCAGCAGAGCTTTACTGCAACTAAGAGAAAGAGAGAGAGAGACATGGAGACAGAGAGAAACGGACAGTCAGTTATGAATACAGTCACACACATTAAAACTCTAATATTTAATCAGTTAAGTCCCACCCATCTGAAGTTCTGCAATGCCTGCTGGATTCATTCCAGTGGCATTCAAATACATTATGAATTCCATTGTAAAACTGGCTAAATGCTTGTCATAGGGACAAATTTGACCATGCAAATTTTTGTTTGAAGCAAGAATTCGATTCATCACTCCCGTATGAGCCCTGTCCTACATGTGTCTCTCACCGTAGTCTGACCATGTTCAAGACAGAGAAGAGCACATCCACTCCAGCATCCTCCATCTCACAGTCCTCTAGAATGAGCTCTGTGTGCTTCTGAGCTTTCAGAATGACAGTGCTGATGAGTCTACAGTCCTCAGTGGTCAGATGTAGAGTGGTGTTCTCTGTTTGTGTAGTTAGGTCCAGACAGGCCTGGCAGGAGAAGTCCAGTCTGTTCTGCAGAGCAGAGAGCACTGCTGCTGCTGCCCTCTCCTGGAGCTCAGACACGCTGCAGCAGTGGAGCAGCTTCAGCAACAGAAGCCTGTCAACACTGACAACAGATCACAAACAGTTATATTAATGCATGTAATATAAAAACACAGGGTGAATTGCTGCCTCAATTCCTCTGTCCTACCTAACCGAATGCACTCCACCATCTTTAAGAATTTATCAACTATTTAAATGCACTCTGCTGCCAGAGCATTTACAGATATATCTTTTTAAATCACAAAGTATGACGTAGGTGTGTGTTATAGTTTCTCTGCCACAACCTAACACAGTCATTGAGTGCAGAATGTCTCATTTGTAGGCCTTCAGTTAGTTTTAAATGAGCTCGGGCCCAGAGAAGGTGGCGGCATTTCTGGATCCTGTTTATATATGGTTTCTTTTTTGCAGAGCCAAGCTGTTTTCACAGACATGGGTTTTCAGAAGTGTTTCTGAGCCCATGCAGTGATTTCCACTACAGAATCATATCTGTTTTAGATTTCTCCAATTAGATTCTCAATCTTTTAATGTTATTATTAGAGGTGGGAATCTCTAGGCACCTCACAATTCGATTCGATTATGATTCAGAGGGCTGCGATGCGATTATAAAATGATTATCAATGCATCTTGATGCATTTTTTTTATATACCTGATTTCTATTTTCTTACTGTCTGAGAACTTGGTTGTTTTAAAGCAAAGTATTTGTAATGATCCATAAGGCATTTACGTCCAATATCTTTTATTAATAAAACAAATGGAAGTGATGTGGCAAGTGAACTAGAAGGCTCTCATTCACTGCTCTTGTTTGGAGACACTGCTGCCATTCATCTGTGATAAAATGCGCTGTTACGGTGAAATAAGATCCAGTGGTAACAGATGTCCACGCAGCACATTACAGCTATTCTACTCGTTTTCTTTAGTGATTTTATAACTTTATAACGGTTTTGGTCTCATGATAGGGAGGGGGTGCGCGAAAGCCCTGTTTCACAATGACTGAGAACTTGCTTGCAGACTGCAGGTCACATAGCAACAAGGTTTCACCTGGCTAGTAGCGAACAAAAAAGGAAAAGAGAAGGACAGACGAACATCTGGAGATGAATGGACTTATTCACATTTATAAGCAGCGCAGTTGGTTTCCTTGTACGTTAAATCTGCAACGAGAGACTGTCAAACTCTAAAATGTTGCGAAGATGAAGCTTCTCTTTCTAATTTTCCCGTTCCACCTTAAATGGTGCTGCATTTACATTCGGCGCCTCAGTCAGAATTTAAGGTGGAGCGGGAAAGTTCAGCAAGAAGCTGGAGAATGAAAAGCGACTTCAGCCTCATGAAACAGTCGAACGCTGAGAGACATTTCACAAGAAACTGCTCTAGTTTTGAGGAAAAGTTTTCTGGCGGAGTTGGAAGAAAAGCGCTGTATCTAAAGCTTAAAGCAGAGTAAGTCCGCGTTTTCGTTGATATTTTTTAGCCTAAACTAGGACATTATCACATACTGAGACATACTGGACATTAAATGTTGTGGCTCCCAAGGTGGTTTGATTTTTTCGATTTTTTCCTGCCCCCCCAGTTATTATGTACCATAGATGATGAAAAGCAAAAGTTCTTTGCAGTTTTACATTGAGAAACGTTATTCTTGAATTGTTGCACTATTTGGCCACACCATCCTGGTGAACCCCTCCTCATCTTTACTTCTGAAAGATTCAGCCACTCTGGGATGCTCTTTTTATTCCCAGTCATGTTACTGACCTGTTGCAAATTGACAACCAGGTGTTTCTTTTTAGCATTACACAACTTCACCAGCCTTTTGTCGCCATGGTCCCAACTTTTTTGGAAGGTGCTGTTGGCATCAAATTTGAAATTTTTCAATAAACAATATATTTTCTCAGTTTCAACATTGATATGTTGTCTTTGTACTATTTTCAATTAAATATGGGGTTTACATGATTTGAACTTTTTGGGAAATAGGGTTGTATTTTTTTTACTTATTTTGACAAGTAAAGTGGGACAGTGCATCACAAGTATTTATATTTACATTTATGGAATTTGGCAGATGCTCTTTTCCAGAGCAACTTATAATTTTAATCATGTTATTATGTTACAGAGGTAGGTGAATGCAGTAGTAGGGACACTCATTAGGATAGTGTGGTGGTGTTCTCTGCTGTGTGGAAGGCAGCAACAGTGTTATCCACTACAACATACTATTTGTAAAATAATAAAAACAATAATAATACCTATAAATACAATAAATAAAAGCATGAAGCTTTTTTGTATAAAAGCATATCAGGAGCAAAACTTACACAGAAAATGTAATATGAAAAATGTCAATTCCCCTACTCTTATATTAGGGATGGGGGGAAAAATCGATTCTTAGATGCATCACGATGTAGACGTGGGTGATTCTGAATTGATTCACAAATGTCAAAAATGGATTTTCTAAATATGTAATTTATAATGTTGACGGAACGCAAAAGGCGGAACTTGGAAGTGCGGAAGTGCAGCGCAGCGCCCAGACACTCTGTGGCGGCAAACAAAAACACAACCGGATGAGCGAGAAATCCGGCACCCTCTGCAATAAAAGCTAGCTTAGATAAGAGTCGACAACACAAATGTTAAGAAGAGTCATTTTGTCCTTTCAACGAAAATCAAACCACCTTGGGGGCGACAACATTTGATATCCAATATGTCTCAGTATGTGATAATGTCGTAATATATGCTAAAAAATATGAATGAAAACACAGACTCACTTTGCTCTGCTTTAAGCTTTAGCTATAGCCTCTTGCCTCCAATTTCTACCAGAAAACTTTTCTTCAAAAGTAGAATAGCTTCTTGTAAAACGTCTGTCAATGTTCGACTGTTTTATGAGGCTGAAGTCAGTTCTTATTTGCAAGCTTCTTGTTCGAATTTTCCCATTCCACCTTAAATTCTGCCTGAGGCACCAGAATGTAAATGTGGCACTATTTAAGGTGGCTGACTTCAGCTTCACAACCTTTTTGTGTTTGACAGTCTCTCTTTGCAGATTTAACGAACCAGGAAACCAACTGCGTTGCTTATAAATGCGAATAAGTCCATTCGTCTCCAAATGTTTATCTTAAATCTTTCTCTTTGCCTTTTCATTGGCTACTAGCTAGGCGAGACTGTCTGCGTTGCTATGTGACCTACAGTCTGCACGCCAATCTTCAGGGTTAAAGGGTGGTGAATTAGCAGAGTTTAAGACCATCTGTTGTTAAAACGGTGTTAGAACGATCAGCAGAGCTTTATTTTGCTACAAATGAGGATTATTTTATTTTTTTATCAGGACAGTAAAAGAGACGTTTGTTGCTGACCGAATATTTTAAAAAAGACAAACATGAGAAACCAGGTTTCCATCCATTTTCCGCCCGGTTGTAGCTGCCAGCCAGAGGACCATCAAGCAAGTGATGTCAAAGCTTCCACCCAACTTGGAAGCGAATTACAAACTCTATCACAACTTTTATCGCCAAGGATTTGCCTGTGCTACGTTGCACACTTTGGAGCCAAGATACAACGTTCCATCTCGAAGATATTTTACTGGCAAAACGACCCCGCCCCCCACACTCTCTATGATGAGATGAAAACAGAAGTTATGAAATCACTAAGGAAAAAGGGTAGGATAGCTGTAACGTGCTGTATGGACACCCACTATCACAGGATCTTATTTCACCGTAACTGCGCATTTTATCAGATGAGTGGCATTACAAATACTTTGCTTTAAAACAACCAAGTCCTCACACAGTGAGAAAAAAAATCCTGTATAGATCAAGATGCATCAATAACCGTTTTATAATCGCATCACAGCCCTCTGAATTGTAATTGAATCGAATCGTGAGGTGCCTAGAGATTCCCACCCTTATCTTATATGCAATGTTGGGCTCAAAATGGAAATTCTAATTCAATACGCCTAATTAGCCATTTGGTACACTAGTACACAGAGATTTAGATGCTATACAATTAGCTCATAAGTAGTATATGTATTTCCAGAATTGCATATTTATGCTGAAATGAGATTATGCAATAATATTGCCAAAATGATAAATAAAATGTAATTTTCCTCATGTACATTTACATTTGAAACTGCATTCTCATAGAGAACACCAAGCTAGAAAGAGGGCAAAGGTAAGTACAATGTAAAACTTTCACGTCAATCATCCCATCAAGGTGGGACCAACACCATGCTCAGCAGAAAGGGCTTCTTCAGAGGTATGGCACCCAAGCATTTCTAGCTATTGTTACGTTAGCAGTTGAGGCAGAGTAATACATCCACTGGTGTTGCTTACAATGTCTTTACACATTACCCGATGACAAAGTCTGGGAGTCACTGATAAACACAAGGCTGAATTTAACTTTTTATTTGAAGGTTCCAGTCCACCTTAAATGGTGCAGCAGTAATGTTCAGGTGCATTCTGGCACCCTGATGTAACCGCTGCACCATTTAGGGTAGACCAGACAATTTGAAAAAGCGATGGCTGAAGGACCACCAGAGGTGATCAGAGATGGATATATTGCTCTGTCATCACCTCACCTGTTTATATGCTCTGTGAATTGTGGAGGGCTGCAGAATTAAGCTAGCCAAAGCCCATTTCATTCTATTCCCAAATAAGGCCCCAGTCTACTATTTACACCAGCTGGCTAACATGATCCAGCTCAGTGTGTCACACACATTTACCAGCAATTTTTGTAATGTTGATTTTTAAAAAGAAATTTTTATGTTGTGTGACTTTTACAAGAGTTTGATTCATCTAACTGATAGCTCAGCATTTAGCTGGGTGCCTACAGCTGATGAACTAGCAGTAGCTAACTTGGTATGTCTGTCTCACAGCATGATTCCTACATTACACACAGCATCCTGTTTTAGTTTCACGAGAATGTGAACCAGTGAGTCAGTATTACTCCTGTTTATGACAGCCACAATGACTAGGTGGCTGTGTGTACCAGTGCAATTACAAATAAATAATTTGAGTTTTTGATAATAGATAAGATGGAACACAGCAATATATCCACATCTAATGCTCAGTATGTAAATTTGAACACAGCCCTTAATGCTGGATTTATCTTTAGCACATCTTTAGCCTACAGTTGGTTAACAAGGACAATAACTTTGACTTATTGAAATGTGTATTTGTATAAGGAAATAGTATAAATATGTATATTATATGGTTCTATATACAACCTATGTAGAATCTTTTTGAAAAGGGTTCTTCTGTTGTTACAAGCTTGACATCATAATAGCAGAACCCTTTTTGGTGGTTACAAGACATTCTCCATCAATCTGAAGAACCGTTTCACCATGCAAAGAACACTTTAAGCATGCAAACGTTTTTTTTTGAGTCTTTACTAAAGAACCCTTGAAGAACCATCTTCTTTAAGAGTGTGGGGTCTTGACAAATAGGTTCTAAAACTAATAATGCATATAGTCTCTTTATGTCTAAAACACTACTACCATAATCAATACCACACAATAAAAACAGGCATTTACCTATTATAAATCGAGTTACCTGAGATGGGAAACTCTATTGAGCAGAGGCAGAATGCTCTCTAACTCCCCCTCTGGTATGGAGGTCCACAGCAGGCCGAGAGATACAGTTGTGCAGCGCTGGAGAGTGAAGCGCAGGGCAGCACAGTGGACAGAGTCCAGCTCTCTACAGTTCAGGTTGATACAATTCTTTATTGAACTCAAGAGGCTGGACACAAAGTGAGCTGAGCCAGTCTCATATATCTCTCTGATGATGGACAGAACAATGCTGGAGCACAGCCTGTGGAGGTAACGTTACATCATCTATATATATATATATATATATATATATATATATATATATAAATTCCATATGGATGCAGGCAGTGTGTAATAACGAAGAGATAATTAACACCCTGACGAACACATGTAAGATAATACTGGCAACTGTATTCAAAACTGTATACAATACTGATGAAGTTTATTCACTGTTTCACCGTGCAAAGCCAAATTCAGTGAACCTCATAGGTCATGCAATTAATCAGGCAAGCGTTAATGCAGAAAGAAACTGCAAAAACCAGAAATATCAGAGAGATGCTGAACATGTGTGAACTGTAACAATGAAATATGTTGAAATATGTAGGCATTTAACAATTTGTGTCCCTTACACTGCATGTAGCAAACATTTCTAAAAAAGCAAAACACTGTTTAGAGTAATTGAAGAAGACAAGCCGGTGGAGACAGTATGATGCTCCAACATCAGTATGAAGGACCAACATCATATAATAATAATGTTTTGGCTCATTGGTGCGCACACACACACACACACACACACACACACACACAGTGTAGGAATATAATTATATGCTGTCTTACCTTTTGATATGAACTTTATCAAGTAAAGGAAGAAGCTGCCTGAGAAGTGTGTAAGTGATTTTGCTCTTCATGACATTCACAGTGACACGACAAACTCCTTGTTGGACAAAATAAATAAGCTCCTCCCAGCTGAGAGAACAGGAAGTCAGGTCTCCTCCCACCTTTTCCAGGAAGAAGCAGGTTAGCGTCCTATCCTTCACTTCATACACCAAAATGGCAAACTGCTGGAGAGTCTCTTTAGACAACCTAAAAACACACAGAAAAACAGCAACAAAAACAGTTTGGAAATTAATAATTTTCCTAATTGTTGTACCTTTACCACATTTACAATTTATTCTCTAAACAGACCTGATAATAAGGGGTTGAGGATGACACATGAGGCCAATGAGAGAATGAGCTTCCATCTCACACTCAGAAAGGTTCAGACACTGAACTGTCCAGAGGTTCAGGAGGGAAGCCAAGCTGCTCAGGATCCTGGAGAGCTTCTGAGCTGACCAAACTCTTGTCAGAACCACAGACAACTCCTCAATGACCAATGGAGCGCAAGCTCTTTCTGCTCGAAATGCTCGGGTCATCCTTCCTAATACACTGTCATTTAGACTGACATAAACAGTCACAAAAACACATTAACAAAAGTCTTAACAGACAACTTAAGTACCGCAGACAACTCACTGTACTTTAATCTCCAGTCAAAACAACACATAAGTACAAGTTATTTATTTTCAGCTCAAAACACAAAATTACACAGAAGCCAACTAAACATAATATCAAATCTGTCAGTATTTACTGGTAGCTCCAAGTCCATAAACTTCTGTTTTTATTTCACATATTTACCATTAACTTTCTCTTTCCTTATGCAGGTGGATCCTTTTATATCTTATCAGAAATACTTGTATTTAAAGACCATTTTGTCAGGAAATTAAACAATAGTCATTTTTAAGATTCATTTACAGCACATAAACACCTGCTTTTGCTGAAAAAAATAATTTTTAAAAGCAATATATTGTTTACACTTAGGCATTTTAACACAACAGTACAGGAGTTTTAATCTTTTATGCCAATTTCTTTTTACCTTAGGTAATGAAATGTCAACAATGGGCCTGAAAATTTCAAATGTTATTATTTTAAATACCTTAAAATAGGCTTTTAAATTATTTATAATGCCTCTTGTTGAGCAATAGCTAAATGGGATATATTGAAAATCACAAGGGGAAAACACGTTTAGTCAAACAAATGTCCTGATTTTTGGTCGACACCTTCAGATATTACTCAATGTCTAATAAAATTAGAAAACCTTGTGGTTTTGTGGACAATTTCCTGTTTCTTCTGGCATTAACACAATCAAAATCAAATGCTGTTTATAAGATCTATATAAGTTTCAATGTATTTTAACCTTTTTTCTTGTCATAGACAAGGTTATACGTCATTTGTGATGTTTCCAAAACACCTCTTAAATACTGAATTTTATATTTATGGGGTACTGTTTTATTATATATATATATATATATATATATATATATATATATATATATATATATATATATATATATATAATTTTTTATTATTATATTTTTAGCAATAAATCATGATTTGTTAAAAAATATATAAAAAAGAAATGTTGAGGAAATTAAGCTATATGCATGCATACAGGAAATACAGATATCCATGGACTTTTTTATTAAAGCATTACTATCTATAAACCCAACAGATGGATTTTAAGTATGAAAAAAAAATTCCCAGCCATTCATGTTAACTTTAAAATTTTAAAAAGAGCTAATAGAATAATTTCAAAATATGCCTAGGAAGTAATAAAGATGATTTTGGGGCATAACCACAGCAGTGATCAAAACTGAGAATGAAAATTGACAATTTGACATGAAGAGGATGGATTAACATATGATATAGTCTAATATAAGTCTAAGATTCTAATTCTAATAAGCTCTACCTACCAGAGTTTATGTAGGTGTGTAATGTGTCTGAAGAGAAGTGTGGCTCCTCTGAGACTGATGGCTCGGGGCTTTAGAGTGAGGCTGAGTCGGGAGGGTGAGAGGCCCAGTGCTCTCCCCACAGCCCTGCACTTCTTATTAGATAAAACCCCATTTACAGTAAAGGTAGAGTCCATAGCAGAAAGCAAAGCTGTCAATAGCTCTGTCTCTCTTGTGTAGTCAACAACCAGTTCATTTAAATATGGGACAAGAGATTCTGCATATCTGAAACAAAAGCAACAAATGTTTAATGTGAAAAATGAAGTGAAGCAATTATTATTTACAGTTGAAGTTATAGGTTTACAGACACTTAGGTTGAAGTCATTAAAACTCATATTTATCTCTTCCACAGATTCCACGTCAACAAAGTTTTAGCAAGTTGTTTAGGATAGCTACTTTGTACATGACACAAACTTCTTTTCAACAATTGTTTACAGATTATTTCACTTATAATTCACTTTATCAAAATTCCACTGGATCAGAAGTTGACATACACCAAGTTGACTGTGCCTTAAATAGCTTGGAAAATTCCAGAAAATTATGTCATGACTGTAGAAGCTTCTGACAGGCAAATTGACATTATTTGAGTTAATTGGAGCTGTACCTGTGGCAGTGTTTTAAGGCCTGTTTGCTACTTTGCTTGACATCATAGGAACAACCAAGAAATCAGCCAGGACATTGTGGACCTCCACAAGTCTGGTACATCCTCAGGAACAATTTCCAAACGCCTAAAGGTACCATGTTCATCTATTCAAATGATAATATGTAACCATGGGACCACGCAGCCATCATTGCGTTCAGGAAGGAGACGCGTTCTGTGTCCTAGAGATAAATGTACTTTTGCGAAAAAATACAAATCAATCCAAGCACAACAGCAAACGACCTTGTAAAGATGCTGGAGGAAACATCCTCCGCTCAGCGAAGCCGCTCAGCAAGGAAGAAGCCACTGTTCCAAAACTGCCATAAAGAAGCCAGGTTACAGTTTGCAACTGCATATGGGGACAAAGAATAGCCAGGAAGTTAAAGCTTGAGCAGAAATTGGTCTTCCAAACGAACACTGACCCCAAGCAAACTTCCAAAGTTGTGGCAAAATGGCTTAAGGACAACAAAGAGAAGGTAATAGAGTGACCATCACAAAGCCCTGACCTAAATCTCGTAGAAAATTTTTGGTCAGAACTGAAAAAGTGTGTGCAAGCAAGAAGGCCTACAAGTCTGACTCAGTTACACCAGTTCTGTCGGGAGGAATGTGCCAAAATTGCAGCAACTTATTGTGAGAAGCTTGTGGAAGGCCACCAAAATGTTTGACCCATGTTAAACAATGTAAAGGCAATGCCACTAAATACTGACCATGTGTATGCAAACTTCTGAGCCACTGGGAATGTGACAAAAGAAAAAAAAGCTGAAATAAATCACTGTCTCTAGTATTATTCTGACATTTCTCATTCTTATAATATAGCGGTGATCCTAACTGACCTAAGACAGGGAATGTGCACTAGGATTAAATGTCAGAACTTGTGAAAAACTGAGTTAAAATGAATGTGGCTAAGATGGATGTAAACTCAACACTTCAACTGTATATACACTAAAATGAAAAACATCTTTAGATCTTTAAAAACAGTCAAAGCCCTTCTGCTGATTTCTTTGACAATCAAGTGTTGGACCTCATTAGTCATGTGGCAAAAATAAACGGATATAAGCTTAACATGCTTCAAAGCAGTAGCTCCAGCATTTCTGGGCCAGCCAGCCAGTTTTTATGTTCCAGAAAGGGTGGAGAAACCCATTTAAATGGCGTCGGCACCACTTACACCAGCTCTTGCATAAATTGTTGTATGGCCTGTCTACTATTAAAAATGTTACTATAATATTTGTAGCTGTCCTTATTGAAGAAGAATCATCAAAATAGATTCAGAAAGTACATTTCAATTTCACCATTCATTTTACCTGACAGTTTTACCATTTGCCTGGGTTTGCCAAAATTTTGTGCATCACATGACACAAGCCGGAGCTTTCGAGTGGCAAAAGCTGTTTCTACCGGATCATCTGCTGCACATAAATAGAGTAGAAACCACAGCAACAGGACTCAACCGGCACATCTGCATGGGAACACTGGAGCGCACCCTTCAATAATGAAATGAGCTTCGATCTCTCCATATCAAACGTCCTATCATTAGTCCTTATTCTTCGTGTTTCTTAGCTCAGCTAGTTTTTTAACTGAGATTCTTTGTTTTATATTTTATTAATCTTCTTTATTTCAGTTATTTGCCATGTTTCTCTCTTTGTTAATGGGGATCCTCTGTTCTCACAGTCATTGCCTGGATTTTCTCCCATCATTATCAAAGATTCTAATAAAACCAACAGAAAACCAGGAAGAAGCCAGACACACAAATCCAAATGATTTTGGAATGAATGGCTCAACTTATTTCATAAAAGCAGTAGCAGTAGACAATGTAAATAATAATTATGTCAAATATAAACACATTATGTGCTCATTATGTTTACAACTTACGCCTTTGTTTTAACAATATGTTTCGGGGAAAAACAAAAATTAAAAGAAAACATCTATTAAAAGAGTTATACTGGTCATGATGTAATATTTAGGACAAACCTCTGCAGGGAGATTTAGGGCAGATACTAATTCTAAAACAACAGAGTTTGTCAGATGTAGTGAACAAAGCACTATACTGCAAGTGTGATACATCTGCAATATTTAGCTCAAACCTGAGTTGTGAGATGAAGGGCAGACACTGAAGGAAACTCCTCACTTCACTCTCTTCATCTGACCAGCCTCTCAGCTCCACTGGCTTCTTCACTCTTTGGAGTTTCAGCACTTCTAGGAGGAGGGAGGCTTTTCTCTCTGATAGGTTTATGATCCACTCTGCAGGAGCTGACTGATAAACTGGCTGTAATGCTGTAAGAACTTTCCTGCCTTTTTCAGTCTCATACTGCTTCACATGTGAGTAAAGATCCAGCAGGAAGTCACTCTGTCTGTAACTGTCTGTATCTTCATAAGGGAAAGAGCTGTAAGTGCACACTGATGTTAACAGCTCCAGTGTCTTCTCTCCTGTCTGTCTCTCACTCTCTGCTGCTTGATGGAACAGATTCATCAAAATCCAGACACTTTCGTCATCATCATCATCATCATCATCATCATCATCCAATCTGAAAATAAACTTCATTTTATTAAAGAACAATACAAAATACAAATTTTAGTTAAAATAAGATGATTAAAAAAATATTTTTTTAAATAAACACTGCATACATAAACACTAAATGATGTGCAGCAACTCATATTACAAAAGTACTCTTTAATGACTTTTGTTCAATCTTCAAAAAAAGAAAAAAAACACATTCAGAACTAGTTTCCTTTTTTCAAGGCTACCTTAAATATCAACTGGACAAATAAGAGAAAGCTGCAGCAGTGCTGGAGGAGTTTGGGGTTACTCAGTGTGAGTAGAAAAGTCTGTAAAATGTATCTCTCTGACAGAGTCAGTCTAACACTGTCCTCAGCCTGTACTGAACCAATAATTCACTACTCACTACCTATCAGCAACACTGAACTATCAGCTCTCCGACGTTGGATGAGAAGTGCTCACGTAATGAAATTGCTTAAAAGTTTAGATGCAGTAGAAGGGACCACTGGAACACAGGACTCCAGAAATGACTACATTGAATTAATAAAAACTTACAGGGACAAAAACATATAGGTTACATTTTTGTGATTTAATCATATATTTAAAGTAAAAAACTGTTTGTACTTCTCCTGTAAAGATACCATTTCTGACAAGGTTGTGCTCTGAAAATGATAATGTACTACATTAGGCTGATTCATGTTAAGGCAAGAAATTTCTGGAATGAAAATAATTGTAATTTTGCACATCTCATATAAAGATACAGCTATGCTGTCCCGTATAGCAGAAGCACATCATTTCATTATTATAGGTAGCAGGCAGCATGGCCGTCAAGATGGACAGTTCAGGGTTTTGTGGTCTTTGTTAGAAATTATGTTTTAGTGATGGGCCAAAAAAAACAACAACAGGTTTATCTGCTGAGGTGCACAGAGCACTAATTATACTGCAAGCCTAATAAATCTGCAATATTGCAAAAAACATTCGCTAATATTTTGCAAGAGAAATAAAACTCCAAACCTTGGCTAACACTGAATATTATATAGCAAAAGAAATAAACTTGAAACTCTTAGCTCAAACCTGAGTTGTGAGATGAAGGGCAGACACTGTAGGAAACTCCTCACTTCACTCTCTTCATCTGAGCAGCCCCACAACTCCACTGGCTTCTTCACTCTTTGGAGTTTCAGCACTTCTAGGAGGAGGGAGGCTTTTCTCTCTGAGAGGTCTATGTTCCAGACTGCAGGAAGTGACTGGTAAACTGTAAGTAATGCTAAAAGAACCCTGCTGCTTGTTTCAGTCTCATACTGCTTCACATGTGAGTACAGATCCAGCAGGAATTCACACTCACTGAGTCCATATGACACCAATTCCTTTACTGTTGTCTGAATGTGTGCTTTTTGGTAAAGAGCTGCATGTAGACATAGATTCAGTTTGAATGACCTCACTCTCTTTTCCCATTCTTCACATGGTTCTCTCTGATTATGTTTAGGGATAAAACTGCAGGGAAAAAAAAAACATATAAAGACTCAAATTAAGATCACATGGAGGAATATAGCTAAATGAAAGACTAAACATATCACACAGTACATTTATTCAGATCTTTGTTCAGATCTTTGTTCAGCCTACTCTTTCACTAGAAATTCATCATTCAATCTTAAAAATCTTTCAAACAGCATAGTATACACTTTTCTCAATGTTGTAATTTACTGCTACGCCTCAAGTATACCATTGCTTTCACAGTAATTCATTAAAATGTGTCATCTGCAAGAAATGCAAGAAAAGAATGAAAGAAAAACACATTACAGTGGTTGGTGTAGAATATTGGGTAACACTATTGCCCTCCAGACTGGGGTTTGATTCCCCACATGGACAAGTACACCATGCTATATAAAAGTCTTTGGGCAAAACTCCTAACATTACTTTCACTTTCCTCTGTAACAATAATTTATAAATATCTCTTGACTTAAAGTCTCTTAAACTAAAAATTCTTAAAATTTAAAAAATCTAAACTGCCAAACTGTGTTGCCAAAGCAATGTTTAGTGTTTAGTGTGCAAATTCCTTTTTTTGCCCAAATGGGAAACCAAACCCCTGTCTTAAACATGCAGGGCACTACACTATACCAGCCTGCTTCATTCTGTTTTCCTAGATAATGTTTCATCTTTAACAATTGTTACTGTTAGATTTATATTTTAATCATTTATTTATTTAACACATTGGGCTGGAAGTGGAAAATTACTCTCACTTACGTTCTGGTTAATGCTAATTAACCTTACTCTCCAATTCTCCCTTGAACACAGCTTTTCCCAAAGCTGCCTCATTTTTGTTGGAAAGCTTTAATAACTTTTTCTTATGTTCTATAGTCACATGATTTACCAGGCAGAATTAGTGCAGATAGCCAGTGTTAATACTGCTTTCACTTAGCGTAAATACACATGCCAAAATTACATTGTTATTGGTCACTGATGTGTACAATCTATTATTTCCTGATTTATACATGCATATTTGGACCAGTATTGTAAAGTATAACCCATGAGGAGGATGAAACATATCAATATTTATTTGTAACCAGCAAAGATACTTTCTCTAGATAGACAAAGCACTTTTTGTAAGTTGCTCATCCCAAAAGTGTATAGAATGACACCGGTGTTGAGGTCAGGACTCTGCTCAGGCCACTGCATTTTGGAGAGAAAGTCCTCATTCATCTTAATGTTCTCCACAAGATAAACACAAATATTTGTAGGCATAGTCATTTTGGGAAACTGCAGCCTGACGTATACAATTACAATTAGCAGCATGGGCTTTGGTTCAAGCATGTTCAAAGACACTCCCTCATACAGTGTATTTTAAGCTTGACTTTAATATTATCTACCATCTGTCCACTCTGCAGGAGCTGACAGGTAAACTGGCAGTAATGCTGGAAGAACACTCCTGCCTGTTTTAGTCTCATACTGCTTCATATGTGAGTACAGACCCAATAGAAAATCACTTTTTTCATCACATCTGTGTGACACCAATCTCTTTAATGTTTTTTGAACATGTGCTTTTCAGTAAAGAGCTTCATATAGACACAGATTCAGTTTAAATGACCACACTCTCTTTTCCCACTCTTCACATGGTTCTCCCTGATTCTGCTCAGGGATAAAACTACAGGAAACAAAACACATGCCACAAAGATGAATAAATAAACCTTACCTCAGGTGTGAGATGTAGGGCAGACACTGAAGGAAACTCCTCACTTCACTCTCTTCATCTGACCAGCCTCTCAGCTCCACTGGTTTCTTCTCTGTTTGGAGTTTCAGCACTTCTAGGAGGAGGGAGGCTTTTCTCTCTGAGAGGTCTATGTTCCAGACTGCAGGAGCTGACTGGTAAACTGGCAGTAATGCTGGAAGAACAGTCCTGCCTGTCTCACACTGCTTCACATGAGAGTACAGATCCAGCAAGAACTCATACTCCTTATCAGGTCCATGTGACATGACTTTCTTCATTGTTCCATGGACACTTTCTTTTTGGTAAACCACTGCTTGCAGACACAGATTCAGTTTGAATGACCTCACCCTTTTTTTCCCCCATTCTTCACACGATTCTCTCTGATTCCATTTAGAGATAAAACTACAAGAAAAGTACAAAAAATCTTTTAGGAAACATGGATGACAATAACAGATAGGTAAAAACACTGTAAATGTTAATAAATAGCCAAACCACTCCTACTAATGGTGGAGTAAAAAACAAATTTAGGTGCTACAATAAAGGTGTGAAATGACAGCAATAATTACAAAATTCAACTAGCTCACTGGAACTTGGATCATTTAAATACCACAACAATAACAAGAGTAAATGTAACATTTATGTTGCTACATCTGTATTGTCCCTAATATTAATAGCAGACAATCATGTGACCAGACTGCACAGTTGGCCTTGTCCAAGTACTGCTTTCATTTTATATGTTTCTTATACAAAACTTTCTATACGTTTTGTATACATATGTACACACTATTTTGGCCATAGCCATGCAGTCTCCATAGACAAATAATGGAAATAAAATGGGTCTTACTGAAGAGCTCTGTGATACTTTCGGTATGGTGTAAAACACACTGCCACTGGACTCTGGAGCAGTGGAAACACGTTCTCTGGAGTGACGAATCACGCCTCACTATTTGGCACTCTGACGGTCAAATGTGGGTTTGATGGATGCCAGGTTAAGGCCATCCTCTGAATGAAGTTGAAGTGCCAACAGTAAAGTTTGATGGATGAGGAATAATGGTCTGGGGCTATTTAGTTCCTAGATAGTGAAGGAAGTGAAGGAAAATCTTGATGCTACAGTGGTCAATGTCATTCTAGAGAGCTGTTTCCACTTTGTGGCAACAGTTAGGGGAAGGTCCTTTCCTGTTTCAGCAAGATAATGCCCTTGTGCACAAACAAGATCCATAAAGAAATGGTTTGCTGAGATTGGTTTGGAAGAACATGACTGGTCTGCACAGAATCAGCCACTAAACCAGATCTAATAACCCAACAACAGTGAAAGGCAGGGAAAATGACGGAGCAAAAGAAACCAAAACAAGAACAATAATACATGGCTAAAAGCACATGACTACAACACAGGGGAAGATGCAGGATAACTCAGAAGGGCATTGGGGAAACCATAACAGAGCTCCCCTTCTAATATGCAGCTCACGAGGAGCGAATATAAAAGGCCATCTATGGTGGGAGCCGAGTTAGAGTAGGGACCAGGAATGTATAGGGACGAAAACTAGGCAGAGGATGAGACACCAGAAAGGGAATGCAGACTAAACTGGGTGAGGGACTGGACAAGGGACTGGATAACTACAGAAACAGGGACAGAGACCATGACAGTAATAGGGACCGGGAATGGGACTGGGACAGTGACCGGAATAGGGAGAGATACAAATTCAGAAATGAGTACAGAAACATGAACAGTAACAGGCACAGGCATAGTAACTGAAACAAAACCAGAAACAAAATAGAAGAAAGAACAGACACAGGGGAAAACACAGACTTGCGGAACGAAGGAACCAAAACAAAAAAAAAGCAAATGGCTAAAAAGCACATGGCTTCCACACAAGCGAAGAAAGAGGATAATTTAGAAGGGCATTGGGGAAACTCCTAATCAATCCAATCAATGCCATGTCTAAATGAATCCAACCAATGCCTACTCTGAATTAATCCAATCAATGCCTGTTCCTAAAGCATCTAACCAATGGCCGCTCTGAATGAATCCAACCAGCACATTACTGACATTCAACACTTTACTGTCATGTTCAATGGCCTCAATTCTGATTTTGTAAACATTTCTCAAACTACTGTAAACAAGCCTTCCTAACATAGCTAACCAATTTAACTCAAATTAGCAAACAATACTAAACTACAAACATTGTTAGCTAACTAGCTAGGTATTAATGTGAGGCTTCAAGAACATTTAGCAACAGTTAGTAAAACAGTAGACTCATCATTATGCAAGACTGTCAAATTCAGTAAAAACGATTTACATGGAAGAGGACTACTATATGAACAAGACATTAACACTAGCTTCTTCTGTCGTGACTGTATCTGGCTACACAAATTGAGAACGTTTTAAATTACTTAGATTTAACAGTATAAATAAAATCTATCTAAGCTACTTGTTGAGGTATAAAAAAAAATAAATAAACTTATGTATTTGCCTAGTTAAAACGTCACAAAATTGCAGGAATTAACCAACCAATTCGTACAGTGCTGCTTAAAGGTTTGTGAACCCTTTATCATTTTGTGAATTTCTACACAAAACACAAAAAGCATATAGTTTTTCATCCATTTATTGAACGAAGTAATCCAACATTAAATTTCTTTGTTGGTAAAAGTATGTGAACGTCTGCTTTCAGGAAGTGGCGTGACCCCCTTGAGCAGCAATGACTTCAACTAAACAGTTCTTATAACTTTTGATCAGCCCTGCACATTGACTTGGAGGAATCATGTTTTTTTCCTTCTTACAGAATGTTGGTGGGCTTTCTTGCATGAACACCACTCCTTCTGCCTCAACATTTTTATTGCATAAGGGTCTAGGGTCCCTGACTAAGCCAGGGGTGCACAACTCCGGTCCTGGAGGGCCGGTGTCAAGCACAGTTTGGTGATTTACCCGCTCAACCACACCTGATTACTCTCATCTGTTAATTGGCAGGTTTAATGGGTGTGTTTGAGCAGGGAAACCTCAAAACTGTGCTAGACACCGGCCCTCCAGGACCAGAGTTGTGCACCCCTGGACTAAGCCATTCTAAAATGCAACATTTCTTCTGCTTCAATAATTTTTTGTAGACTAATTGGTGTTTTTAGGGTCGTTGTCTTTCTGCAGGACCCACATTTGTTGAGGTTCAGTTTAATGATGGATGCCCTGATATTCTCCAGCAGACTTTCTTGATAAAATCCTTGATAAAACCCAGCTGTCTGTCTTGGTCCAGTAGCAGCAAAGCAGCCCCAATCCATGATATTGCCACCACTGTGTTTCAAAATTGGGACGAGATTCTTATGCTGGAATGCAGTGCTCGGATTCGCTTAAAATAACATACTTTCACATAAGCCATTAAGATCCGACTTTGCCTTATCCGTCCACATAACATTATTTTAGCGCTCTTCTGACTCGGCCAGGTGGTGCTCTGAAGCTTTCAAGAGGCAGAAATGTTCTTCCTGTAGAGAAGTGACTTTCTCCATGCTATAATTCCATACATACTATTCTTGTTCAGTGTTTGCCTGATGATGGACTCATGAGCACTGACATTAGGCTGCAGATCCTTTGATGTTACCCTTGGGTTCTTTGTGGTCTTCCAAAATACTCGACACCTTAGCATTGGAGTCATTTTGTGACTGGATGTGATTGGATGACTTCTCCAGGGAAGGGTAAGAATGGTGTTGAATTTCCTCCATTCGTACACAATCGGCCTGACAGTGGATCAGAAGTCCAAACTTATCAGAGATATTTTTTAAAATTCCTCCACCCTAATGAACACTGGCGAATAATTTTCTCAGAAGTGTCATTCGACTGAGACATGGCATGTTCTTACAAATGTATGTGGTAACAAACAGACTTTGATTAAGATGTTTTTTTTAAATAGGGGGTAAAGTCACACACACTCACACCTGATTGTCATTCAATTGATTGAACCTCCTGACTATAATTATCACCTAGAGCCAATGAATAATTCTAGAGGTTCACATTCTTTTGTCAACAAGGACATTTAATGTTGGTGTTATTTTGTTCAATAAACGGATGACATACTATATAATTGTTTGTGTTATTTGTTTTATTGGGTTATAGGCTCCAGCACCCCACCGTGACCCAGAAGGATAAGCAGTTTAGTTGATGTGTGTGAGTGTGTGTGTGTGTGTTTTATCGGGTTGCCTTTATCTACTCTTATGACTTAAATGAAGATCTGATCATATTCTGGGTCTCATGTATGTAGAAATTCACAAAATGATAAAGGGTCCACAAACTTTCAAGCAACACTGTACGTGGTAGAGAAACAATGAACTTGGGAGGGGATGTATAACAGTTTCTCATGGTTGTGTTCATCACATCGAATAGTTAAATGGATTTCACAAAAACTTTATAAAGAATGGTTTACTTTTCCATCAAACTAAAATTCTGTTTGCTGCTGAAATGAACCAAAGCTGCTGAATTTCTTGAGTGCAAGTCAGCATGTGCTGGTAACAGAGAGAAAACATTCTTTAATGGTAGCTGGACTCAGGTCTAGACCAGAAAATAAATTTGGTAAGACTGACGGCTGAGACAGAGACAAAACAGAGTACAAATACAATAATAAAACCAAGTCCAAGACAATAATAAAAATTTCAACACCAGACCAGAGTACTACAGCTCTACTGGATATAAAATATAGAGCCATATGTGTTTCAGTCATAGAGTACATAGCTTCCAGTCTTCCTATGCATTATTTGTGTGTAAAAGTCATTAATTTATTATCTAAGCAGTGCTCTATAAAGGGAACTGGGGGCAAATTGTAACAAAGCTAATCATTAGCTTGCTAACATTAATTTCTTTGCAAGCTAGCTGCAGAATGAAATTTCTCCATGTTAAAACTCCATGGTGTATGTCCCACTATCTACATAGAAAAGCTAAATTCAAAAGGTAAGATGTTTTCAACAATATAATGGAAGAGTTACTGGGTTAACATCATGATTTACAACAGATGATTTTAAAGGGAATTAAGGGTTGTGTCCAAAAGTTTAACATCACTTTGGCAGAGGATGTTGATAGGTGGTTTAGGTGAGGAGGCCCTAAGTCAGGTTTTGCTTAGGCCCCAGGAAGGCTAGGACCAGCAGGACCGTTGTGCACACAAACACACATTCTCAAGTTCATGTGCATTTTCTTTGTCTGCCTATCATTTCTACTCAGGGGTAATTACCAAAGGTGAGGTCTACAAGATGTCAAATGAAACTTGAACAATGAAATTGCAGACTTGAGAATATGGCATCTAATTCATCAAGGTTGCAGTAAATTCCTTCTCTCTTTCCAGAAAGACATTGCCACATTATTTGTAACAGTTTATTTGGGAAGTTTCCAAAATCTGGGAATCTCCGGCATTAAAAATGTCTAAATATGGTCACTTGCAAGGGTTACTCACTGAACAGAGCTGATGGATGGTAGCCATGTGGAAATGGTCCTGCAGAAAGCATCACTGAGCTGTTGTGGGTGTTTATCACAGCACAGATGAAGGATTTTTGGATCTGCACTTTGGGTTATGATTTCTCCAGCTTGTTGAAGTAAAGCTTTCTGAATGATAACTGGGAGATAAATCTCATTTCCACACAACAGCAGGAGGTTTATCAAATAACTCTGCTGCTCACATTTCAGAGAGGTTGTCCACACTTGGCAGAGAGTCATTGACAAATCCCTAAAGGTAGGTAGGTAGGTAAGTAAATAAATAAATAAATAAATAATAAGTAAAATAAATAAATAATATAAGTTAATAATGATAATCCTTGATCCCACTATTTTACTTAATTTCTGACATTCAACATACATAATTTCATATCTTACTGAATGGTTAATACCTGAGGTTTTCTGAATGTCTGAGAATCGTCTTCAGCCCTGAAAAAGACACAACACTGTTCTCCAAATTAAGGTGAACTGGTTTGTCTCTGGATTGGCTGATCACAAAGGACACAGCACAGCACTGATGAGGGTCAAGATGTTCTTCACTCAAATCTAAACTATAGTCTACTCTCTCCAGGAACCGGAGACAAGCTTCAGAGGACTGAAATTCATTTAGGCACTGACAGAGGAAGACAGCATCAACAGAATACTCTTCATCTGGTTCATCATGTAGAAATGTGTTCAAGACTTTCTCAAAGAACCCATCAAAGGTTCCTTTCCGCTGGTCGGGTGGGAAGAGGCACTTTAGAAGAGGGATGTTGGTTTCTGATAAAAGCCCACACAGAAAAGGAATCACATATTTCATGTGCTTACTCTCTTCAGTCTGACAAAGCTGGAGTACTTCATCAAGTTTTTGGGGTTTTTCCAGAAGCCACAGGGCAGAGAAGAACTCCTGTATTGTGTTGTGAAGAAATGCACAGAATGTCCTGGCAAATGCTGGTGACACAACTGACACTGATCTCAGAAAAACACCAGCAATGCAACTGTCACTGTAATCAAATTCCAGGTTGATAGTCTTTAGCTTGGTTGCACTGAATGCGCTCTCTGCCAAAAGTAAGATTGTGTCCCTGCAGCCTTTAATGTGTCCATCTAATTGCCTCAGTTTCTTATTTCCATGCCTCTGAATGCAATGATTCGTATATACAACTCAGTAGCTGTGCATTGTTTATGAGCACCTTCAGATGTACAGTGGGAAAAGCAGGCCGACACCATGGACGCATACATTGGGACATGGCAGAGACTGAACAGTGCTGGATTGTTTACCACACTGTTTACTAATTCTGGATCCTGATCTGGCATTTGCGTAAAGTAATCATAGATAGACTCTTCACTGAACCCTTGCACATATACTTTGCATGTTGGCCAGTCAAAGAATTCATCATCCTCTGTTTCTGGCCTGCATGTTATCACAATCTTAGCTTCAGGCAAAATGTCATGTTGCATAACTCTTTGTAAAATACGGCTGTCATGAAAGTCACTGATCCCATCAAAAATAAGCGTGACATTTTCAGAGTGTTCCTGAGGATACTGAGTAATTTCTCCAGTCTTTTCTCTTAGATGTGCATTTGACATTAAGAATGTGTCTAAAAGAAGATTTTCCAGGTTAGAAATGTTTGAGATATTTGACAGTATGTTTTTATCAAAATAAAACATGAAGTCATGTTTTTTGTCATGTCTCTCTATCCAGAGATACAGCATTTGCCGAACAACTGATGTCTTCCCAATTCCTGGTTTTCCTACTAATAGGATGCTTTTCTCCTGGCTATCAAGGAGATCTTTAGGAGACTTTTTGTATGTGTCCTGAGGTATGTAAGATCTCAGCTTTTTTGATCGGGGTTTCTTAGATTTATTGCTCTTGAGTGTGATTTTGTTAAGTGATTTGTTCTTTTCTGTGTCTGTATCCAACACAAGAGGAATGTAAGTGAATTTTTCTTGGGCTGTCCCTCCAAAGAAATGAGTGCTCTGTTTCCATTGCTGATCAAGAAATATTTTTGCATTTGTCTTTAAAAAGTTTTGAAGCTCATGACATGAGGTGGGCCCTAAAATAAATGGGAACAACAGAGAGAGAGGTGAATATCAAGAATCCTTCACATTTGTTTAAATCCTACATTGTTTTGTATCTTCTAATGGTATTTCATTTTTACAGAAATGGTTTGACAAAAAGTCTAATTGTCACAATTTTCCCCTTACCTCAGTAGTCAATCACCAAGACATGTTTGTTGTCACAATTTTTCTACTTTATTTTAGCGCTGGATCTTTGAGGCTAGCACTAACAAACACTACAAGTCAAGAGACACCCAAATGTTTCCTGTAAATACATCCACAAAACCTCTTTGAACAAAACTTTACCTTGAAGCTGAACATAGCTGTCATCAATTTCAGACAACAGGTGTTATGCTGAATTCTGACTCCTCTTTGCAGGTATATGGATGCTACAGATTACATTCACAATATTTTTTGTTAAGATAAACAGCTGTATGCCAAAGGTTGAACACTGCCTATTTTTAAATGAGGAGCAGAAATAACCTCGGGTTATATTAATCCCACGTGAATTGACATGTTGGTGAAAATGCTGTCATATCCCACGGAAAAGGAGTATTGAGGATCTCAAAAAATCATTTACTTGTGTTCTTTTTCTTCAAATAGCTCTTTGTGGATTTTGAGGTATGTTTTGGATCACTGTTTTGTTGTTGAAGTCAGCCTCTTTCCTGACTAACTGTGCTTCTTGACTAACAGCATTTGTTTTTTTTTGTTTTTTATTGGAATCCATATCTCCATCTACCTGTGTAATGTTTCCTGGGCCACTGGCTGCCACACAGTCCCAAAGCTAGTTGATCCACCCAAAGCTTAACAGTCAGCAAGATGTACTTCTCATCAAAGGCTGTTCCTTTTCTTTCTCCAAACATAGCTTTGGCGTTTGTGACCAAAAGTTCAATTTTTGAATTGAACATTAATAACATTGAATTTGATTATTTTTATCTTTAATAATTTGCTGCAGATGTTGTGTTTATTTCACTTCAAAAATCAACCACACATGTAACTTGGCCAGGTGCCCTAACTTTTGCAAACAACTCTATGTTTATATATTGAAACAACATATATCATGAATATAAACTAAAATCCATATGCTTGTGTGGCATGCGTGTATACAAAGGGAAGTCAGATTTCAGCATAGCACAAGTTGTTAAATTGCTGCCCACAGCAACCATCTACATTGTGAAGTTTTGCTCCTTTTACAAATAGTTTTTTATTTAAACACAACCGACCAGAAAAGCTTCCGCAGGATTTTACCAACCAGGAGTCTTTTTCCCAAAAGCTTAGTTGTCTATGTAGGTAAGTTCTGTCAGAGGTCCTGTCATTAGACAAGCAAGTGTTCCCCAAATCCTTAGTTCAAATAAATATTTGCAACCATTGCCAGCGAGCTGAGTAGTTGGAGCGATAGCTCTGAGGGTGCAATTAACAGCTTTGTTTCCTGTTCCTGATCAATACATCATAGATTCAGAAAGTTTGAACTAACTGAGACAAATAAATTGTGAAGTTTTGTTCACAATTTTACTCTTAAAAACGATTTCTCTATCAATTCTCTTAGAAAGACAATATTGTTGTTCGAATAAACTGTTCTTTCTGTGTTTGTGTTGTATTTAGGAAAGTAGTAGCTTTTTAAGGAACCAACATAGTTCTGGTTTGCACAGCTAATTAAGAATAGAGGTGGAAACAACTTGTAGTCTCTTGTAGCTCATCTGGTAAAGTGCCTTTTTATAGGTTCAAACATAATGAGTTCAGTTCTCATGTAGTCAAATATCTGAGGTTTTCAAAGTGAAAGATGATAGATAAAATTCTGTTTTTACCATAAAAACATCTGTTATGACCACTTTAAGAAAGAAAAGAAAATGAATGCATCCAGATATATGGGCCACAAGGTTTATAGTAATTTGCTGCAGGTGACAAATCTGGTGCTTAGGCTCTTTAAAATAGAGATGCTGGTTTATGTTTGTTTTGGTATTTTACTTTTGGTACACTAAATGTAATTAAGTCATTACAATGCTAAGCAATAACAGCAATTCATATAGCCCAGCTAAGAGTTTATATAAATTACAGAAATTCTAATTTAAATTCAAAGCAAAACTTTCAGGATGTATCTTGTTGCAAAGTAAATTAATTTTAAGTTATTAAAACAAGAATTAAATGGATGCAGCCCAACCTCAATGATGTAGCCTAGACTGACATTCGTGTTTTAGGTTTTACTTTTCACATGTTTAATTCATGTGATGTTTTTGGGAAACAGACATAAGTTGCATGTTCGTTATTTTAAAGACCGTACTATGTTGATTCAGCAATGACTTGTGTTGTTGTTTGGGAAACGCACCCCTGATCATTTAATGTGCAAACAAACAAAATAAAATAATTAATATAGCCTGTCAGCTTGATTATATAACACAACACAGTAAACACTAAGAAATAACTAAACACTGTCTAACTCACCTAATTAGTTAGCTGATGTTGACCATCAGCTACCAAGCGCTGCTGGAGGACATGCTGAAGAAATGAAAGTTGTGAAAGGAGGTTTGGCTCAGTTCAGTGGATTTAGATGCCTATTTCTTTAGCAATCTAACTGCTGATGTAATTTGTTTGGCTTTAAAGCTTTAAAAAAGACCTCTGAGCGTTCATCACAGGGTGACAGTTTTTCATTTTCTGATCTCATACATGTGAAGCCTAAAGGACTTCACACACCAAACATGATAAATTAATTCAATCACATGTGTAACTGACAATATCCTGCACACCAAATTCAGAAAGCAAATTCAGCCAGAACAATTTTGCTAGTTGCAGATAGTAACTAGCTAACTTCTTCACAAGTGCTGCTCAGTCTCCCACCACCTTTTTCACTCACTCTTCCCCAACCTCACCCAATCCCAGCTGCATTCACATAGCGGTGAAATTAGTCAATTTTTTTCCAAAAAAAAATGCTTAACTGTTTATTAAAACGGACGTAATATATATAGACAGGTGTCCACATACCTTGGTATACTAAAGCATAACCCATTTGAGGGAAACATTGGTCTACTGGGAAATCTGGACTATCTGGGATAAGTGGAAAATTGTGTCAATTAGATTTTTCGCGGAACCATTTCTTTAACTTTTACCATGGTATTCATTTTTCATTCTTATATTTAAGAACCATGAGAAGTCTTAACTCTACAAACCAGGAACATGAAGATATTGTGTCTTACATATTGGTCAGAATTTAGTTTGCCAGTTTACTATACTTACCATGAATGTAATCATCCTCTGGTTCATCTCTAAAGGAGAACTGGCTGATCCAGGCATGTGGTTTACCAGCCTGCATAGAGGACTGCAGCTTTGGTAAGACAGATTTCCTCTCAAAATCCAGTATCTTGAGAAACTGGTAGCAGGCTTCCTCACCCTTATTCATGACCCAGGTCAGTATTTTGCTGGTTTTGTTGTATTTTTCAGGTTCAGCCTCAAGGAGACTAACTTCATAGCTGTTGAGAACATCCTGCTGGTGAAGTTTTTCAATAATAAGAGGCAGGTTTTGAAGCTCTTCATACAGGTGTTCACGAGCATTGCTGACATGCTTTAAGGCAGACTGATTTGAAGAAGCCATATTAGTCCTGGAGATTCTTTATGAACTCAAGCCAACTTGAAAAATCTTATCTCCGCACTGCAGTGCTGTGGCTCCTTAGACATAGACCGAAAGTCCGCCAGCTATGAAAAGAAAACAGAAAGCCTTATTTTAAGAATACATTTGGTACTTTTGATTTAATTGCAATTTTTAAATAAATAAACAGATAAATACATAAATAAATAAACAATACCAAAATTCCTTTGAAAATAAACTGGCACTGAAACGTCTTTAAAAGCCTCTGTACATTTATCAACAAGAAATGCAATCAAACAGAAGGAAAAATACCTACCAGATTCTTTTCAAACATGCTGGAGATGCTGAATCAAGTTTTACTGTCTGAAGCTGGGTTTTGTCCTTGTCCTTGACAGGTGAGGAACAGAAATAAGCGGATTAAAAGAAAACAAAGGAATGCAAGTGATTCAGCTGAACGGATGAAGAGTCATGACAAGCAAAAAGAACAAACACTCTTCATATTTTTTCAAGTCCAAGAGCCCTTAGTCCTTTTATAAAAGCGTCATAAAGCAACTTATCATAAAGATCACAGCAGTGCTACTGCATGTATTAAAATATAGTTAAACTCTTGGCCCAGAAGCCCGTTACTGCAGACTGAAGTGTTTCATTTTAAAAGCAGGAAGCAGGAAGTGTTGACAGCTTGTGGGAGGAACTGTAGGCTACTGTTGGTGTTGAATTACTACCTAAGTTCAGTGTTTAAATAACATACTTAAGAACTTAATGTGCTGAAATGTCACGGAGTGTCGTTTTAAGTCAAGTTATTTATTTTTAGAGTTCAAATAGACACAAAAAGGGAACCCATCCTCCTCTGGTCGATACCGGATAGCATGTAAAATGTTAAAAATACAGAAAAGGGGAAAATAAAGGAATGAAGGAAAAAAAATGAAAAGCTAAATATATATATATATATATATATATATATATATATATATATATATATAATAGTATTTGTCTGTGGACCTTTAGTCTTATCTCATTATATAAAATTCAACGGATGTTTCACCAATGAGAACTAGGTCTAATATATGAGAGCAACTTAGAATGAGATAAGACTAAAGGTCCACAGACAAATACTATCCAAACTATCCAATCCAATCGGTCCCAATTTGAAAGCAACTAACATTACTGCATGTACGGCATCCCTCCCCCACACGCAGGTTAGCCAGAACGCAGTGGTTGATAGGGCAACTAGGCATTAAACTTATGTCCTCCATGGCATCCTCCTGACACGTGATACGGTAAACTCACCTCCCCCACTGTAAGCCCGGCAGCCCACGCAGCACCAAAACAGGCCCCACCGCCCCACCTAAGAGAGAGAGTAACAGAATGACAGTCCTGAAGGAAAGAAGTCCAGTCCAGAAGCTAGACCCAAGGTTCAAGGTTCTTGCTTTCGGACTTTGTAATGCCCCAGCAATGTTTGAACACTTGATGGAGAGGGTACTGGAGGGTGTTCCATGACAGGAGTGCCTAGTCTTCCTGGACAACATACTGCTGCATAGAAGCTCATTCGACTCCACTGTGGCCACTTTGCACAAGGCACAAGGAATCGGTACTGCAGGGCTGAAATTACACCCTGGTAGGTGGCTGCATAGATGGTGAGGGTTTTGGTACTGCAGAAGACAAGGTGCACGTCATATGTGAGTGGCCCACACCCACTGAGCAGAAACAACTGAAAAGCTTTTTAGGGCTGGCCTCTTATTACAAGAAGTTTGTGTGGGGGTCGTGTACAGGTTGCTCCAAAAAGAAAAAATTAAAAAAAAAATTCAACTGCTGAGAGGACTGTCAGTCAGCTTTGGAGTCCCTAAAGCAAGGCCTAAGAAGTGCACCTATCCTGTCACCCCAGACCCAGACCCTAACCTGCCCTTCACCAGTGGAAGTGGTGTTGCAGTACTATAGCAGAAGTGGCCTGATGACGAGAAAGTAGTGCCTGTTTTAGCAAAGCAATGATCATGCCTCCCTGCAGTGGCTAATGACTGTCAGAGAGCCTGAAGGGCAGGTGGCCCGTGGGCTGGAGGAGCTACTGACCTACGAATTCACCATAATGCACTGTGCGGGTGAGTGGCACGGTAAAGCCGATGCCCTGTCCTGTCCTCCTACTCATGTAGCGAGCAAGCAAGCACTGCAAGCGCAGAGAAGCCAGAGAACAGGAGCTGAGTCAGAGGGTTCCATAGCCGGATTAGGCGGGGTACAGGGCGACCATATAGATCTGTGTGGTGGGTGGGCTGCAGGAGGTGGGCAGTTACAAGTGGGCTGAACAGCAGATGCAGGACACAGACCTATAACCATTGATGCAGTGGGTCCAACCTCGGTCTTTTCTTTTTGAAAGACCCTGTTTGTCTCCATGACGGAGGAATTCCACACAAACAAAAAGAGAAACATTTTACTTTGAACATAAAATGTAAACACAGCCAGACTAATGAGGTCATATATATTTCTACATATTGTTTAATAAAAAAAAAAAATAACAGCTGCAGCCCCTCAGTGGCTGTTTTATTAAGCAATATGTTGTATGAAAACCACTGTACTAGATCTGTCTATTACTACAATGCTTTTGAAAGGCAAATCTACAAGGAAGGTGAAGTATATTTAGAAAGGAACATTTTGATAGAAGAAGGTAAAAACACTTTTAGCATGAATTTGGGGCCTGAAGTTCTCTGTGTGCTCTGTTTGTGCAGGGGCTAGGAATGTGAGTTGGGGGCCCTTTGCTCCCATTGGGAGTAGGCCTCTCACTTTCTCCCTTCTTCTCTTAGGTCCAAATAGATGAGATCATTTTAAAAAGAACCATATGCTCTGTCTCCTGTTTCAACAACAAGAACCATATATATATGCTGTTGGTCAGTCTGTTCGGGAGGGGACATTTAGAATTGGCACAGATCCTCTCTCAGGTACTCTATAGTGCTTGATATGATACTGTTTTACTATGTAATAAACCTTTTACTGGCAACTCAGTATCGGCGGAGTTTTTCTTCACAACATCTAAACACCATCGCCACTAAATAAACAACAAAGGATATCAAACCTTGCTGACTTCCAAGATTCTCCACAGAAACTAGACTGTTACAGACTTTATATGCAAACACTATGTGTCAATTTTCCAGACATAGACTAAAGACTAAACTGCAGCACCAATGGTTAATCACCTTCAGAAATGCATTGTAGCCTAAGCTTGGGCTTAATGTGGTTTTAGGAAACTGGTCCTATATTTGTTGCATTATGTCTTAAAAACAGAAAAAATTTGAATTTACCCAACTACTTCACCATAACCTGCTACTTTAACACATTTGAGCAGTCCATATTTGAAGGGCTTATATCCTACATTGTTCTTGTATTTTATTTGTTTCACTGAATTCTACTTGTGCTGTTTTATGTATCAAAATGTATTCTTAATGGGTCTATATCCTAAATTGTTTTGTATTTTATTTTTTCATCTCTGGGGTACACTTATAACATGTGTTACTTTATGTACCTAAAATGGTCTTAATTAATATTTTCATGACCATTTTCCAACCTGTCTTCAGCCAACAGAACAGGCTCTTTTGTTACTGTACCTTCAAGACTGATAAAATATGAAAAATGAACTGAAATGCTCTTCAGAACTAAGGCTAAACTGCTGTAGACTGAGCAGGTGGATACACGTAAATGAGTTCACTCTCTTGACTTCACAGGAACAGTGAATTCAAAATAAGCTGATTTGCAGCATAGTTTACATGTATGCACCATATGGATTGTGTAGTGAATTGTGTAGTGTAGTGTGTGTTTGAAACTTTATCAGTGTTTACCAATTACTTCAAACTCCTTTATTTCAAAAAAGCAAGGGAAATTCAGTTTTTCAAGATAAGAGCTATTTAAATGACCATTTCCAACCTCTTTGTATCCTTTATGCTGCATTCACATATTGGTGTTGAAAATGTCGCAGTTTTGTGCTTCATCATCAGTATACTGGCTTGTCACCCTAGCAAGCTAACGTTCTTTACCTCACTTAAACCCAAAGTTAACAAAAGTTAGCTGGCTAGAGTTCACAAGCAACCAGGTATAAAACAATTCTGTACTGGAAATCACTGCATGTGCTCAGGAACACTTCCAAAAACCACTGTATGTGAACACATTTTGTTGCTGCATCCACAAATGCAAGTTAAGAGTACCATGCAAAGAAAAAAACATATATAAACAGGATCCAGAAACGTTGCCGCCTTCTCTGGGCCTGAGCTCATTTAAGATGGACTGAAGTTGAAAAGTGTCCTGTGTCTGACGAATCAAAAATTGAAATTCCATTAGTCCACATGGCATGGGGGACTTGCACATCTGTGAAGGCACCTTTAATGCTGAATGATATATACAGGTTTCTAGGTCCATCTAGACAACGTCTTTTCAGGGAAGGGCTTGCTTATTTCAGCAAGTCAAAGTCAAACCACATTCTGCAATAAAGCATTGATGAGTTGGTTAACAACTGTATTTCTCATGTTGGAGTTTGTACAGTGGCTTGCGAAAGTATTCACCCCCTTGGGTTTTGTTGCATTGCAACCTGGAATTACACCATATTTTTATTTGGATTTTTTACAATGGACCTGATAAAATAGACCAAATTGTTTAACAGGAATGAGAAAAACAATGAAAAATTGTGAGTGCATATGTATTCTCCTTTTAAATTGAACCCCCTACATAAGATCTAGTCCAACCAATTAACTTAAGAAGTCACATAATTAGATGATTAAGGTCCACCTGTGTGTATCGCATGATCTGTCTAATGATGTCAGTCTAAATACACCTGTTCTGAAAGGCCTGTGAGTCTGCAACACCACTAAGAAAGCAACATGAAGACCAACTTGTGGAGTAGTATAGATCAGAGTTGGGTTATAAAATATATGGATAAAATATCCAAAACTTTGAACAGCCCACAGAGCACCATTAATCCATTACAACAAAACTGAATAAATATGGCACCACTAGAAACCTGACAAGAGAAGGCCTCCCACCAAAATTCACAGTCCTGGCAAGGAGGAAACTAATCAGAGATTCAGCAAAGACACCAAAGATGACACTGAAAGAGCTGCAAAGATAGGAGAGATGGGATTTCATTAAGCCCATACACTCCATAGAACAGGGATGTTTTAAAGCATGTCTGTTTGAAGTGTTTTTGAGGTTTAAACTGATGTAAAATGTTGCATTTGTTCAGCTAAATTAAAAATTTGCATTTTGCTCTGTCATTTAAAGTATTTATTCAAGTTCATAAAACAATTTACATCACTTGTTACCATGTGAAGTCTTTTTTTACAGTGTAGACTGCATTATAGCTTCATAGAAGTTTTTATTATCCCTTATGTTCATACTTGATACTGTTTTTCTGAATATACTCTCCTGACATACCCTGTCCCCTACCAAGAGAGGAAGCCAAATCCACAACTCAACAGGTTCAAAGCTAAACCTGGCATATGTGATGCGAGACAAAAACACTGTCTAGAAAAATTCATTTAATTTATTAACAACATTCTCCAGAAATCAACTACCTACACTGTAAAAAATGGTTTGTCAGATCAACCTAAAGAAATACTTCATGTAGTGGCAAGCAACTGAACTAGTTTTATTTAAATAAAAAATTACACTGATTGAAAGAATCATTCGACGTATTTATTCAGGCTCTCAAAGTATTTATTTAGTTTTGCCATTAATTATACTGTGTAAAAAAAAAAGTGTTGGTAAAATGACTGATTTGGCATTTAGAAATTATTTAACCTTGAACTGTAAGTTAATAAAACTTATTTTGATTACTTTTTTTCATAAAAATATAAGGCAGATATACTTACTGCTTTCAAGTTAGAGCACAGTGTTAAACCACAAAACCACAATATGGACAGCAGATGGCGCTAAACACAGTAGTTCTCCTTCTGCAAATTAGTGTTTCCAGCTCCCATCCTGTAATCCAGCTGTTTTGCTCATTTTTGTGCTCCTTGTGCCTGAGTCCCATCATCATCACTGATGGAATTCTCATCATTCTGATCTAATAATGATCAAATCCATCTGAAAGTGATTCAGGTGTTCAGGAAAAACACAACCCTGGGCTGAGTAAGTAGATTACGGAACTGGAGGTAACACTTTACTTGATAACAGTTTACCGTAGGTCCAGTTCATAAGACTACATCACAATTACATAAGTCTTTTATGACAAATGACAGAAACCTACATAAACATTTATAAAGGCTTATTCCAGTAAGCAGCAGTCTGTCATTAAGGCTGATTTAGTCGACTTGAATGTCTAGTTGCCATAAAATAAGTTTTTTTTTCTCCTTTTTTCTGTATTTTGGCATTATTATTAGGATTCATAACATCTTATAAACAGACAGATGAAACTCAAGGGCCAGAGAAAATATATAAAAGTCTGTCAGTACAGTGTCATTACACTGCCATAGTGATTTATATAATCTTATGAACTCAAATATAACACTCACTTAGGAGCAGAGTATATATACATAACTCATTACAGTGTTATGACATTACCATGTCTAAGCATCTTTTTTACTCATCTTTGTTTTTGCAACCAGTTTTCCAACATGAACTTTGTGTTTGACATACCAAAAATACACAAAGTGAACTGTCATAATGTATTTTGTCATTTCACCCCAGAGAGTGTTAAGACACAACCTGTCAGCAAAAACTTGCCACTTGATATAGGTATTATGTCAACTTGACATGGAAGTTGACAAAAGCAACTTATTGGAATAAGCCTTTATAAATGTTGAGGTAGGTTTATTTTAGTTGTCATGAAAGACATATGTTATTGTCATGTAGCCTTATGAACCTGACCCTTGGTAAAGCATTACCCTTTACCTGAACTGCACTACATAACCATGCCATAAACATGTCTTGGAAGATTTGCTGGAATAATTTTATAATACAGAGAACATCGATTTCTTTCATATTTTCATTTTAAGTTCAAACTAATAAGCAACAAAGACATTTTTTTATTCCTTATTAAGAGTGTGAATAATTCTGGAGGCTTCTTTATATTGAAATTCAGCTTAAGGTCTGTAGTAGCCCTGAAAAAAAGTTCATTTTGAGAGAAAAAAAAAAAAAAACAGTAGTCTATTTAAAGAATAAAACATAGCTAAAAACACACAAGATAAGCTCCGCCGGGACGAAAAACTTTGCTGCATGCATCGTTTCTTCCATAATACTTGGTTAAGCTTCCAATTGCCTTAATGACCAGTGAGAATCCTGTCAAGCAAGCATTACGCCCACTCTTCCACTAACTTTGCTCTTCATGCGCAAGAGGAACACAGCATTGACACTCCCACATTCCAGGATGACTACTACAGGGTGTCTGCATGTGACCGGTTCAACAGACATGATGAAACACTGGGACGGTTTGACAGATCAGCAACATCACCAGACCTCAATCCCAATTCTCAAGTGTGTTGAGAATAGAGCAGGTGAAATCTCAAGAGACTGGTATAATCTTAGCTGACAGCCTTGATACTTTTATTAAGGAAAAGGGGTGCTTAACCAAGAATTAGAAAAGAAATGATGTATGCAATTATTTTTTATTATCCAGTGAGCTTGAACAGGTGTACAGTACTTATCTAAGGCACTTAAGATTGGTACTGCTCCATGATCCATGAGGTCTTAGTGCTAAAAATTCAGCAGGAAGAGTCAGAACACTAGATCAGATTCTGAATTTTATTCAAGTACATGCTGGGATTCACGCACAGCATGGTCTTTATCAGTCCAATGAACACTTAGTCTGACATGGTTTAAGCAGAGATACTAGGGGTCAGGGGAGGGAGCAAGCAGAAGGGAAGATGGTGAAGGAGGGAAGTGAAGAAGGAAGGAGCAAAGGTAGGGGAAGAATGTGAAGCACGTCTTGGTTCAGGAAAGGGTGAAAACTTTTGCACCTCAGGAGGAATACCTGAGGTCCTTAAAATGGAAAAATTTGAAAATCTGTCAGTGCATCTCTTGTGATCTGTGCAGAGTATACTGGTTGACAATGGTCACCAGATCTCAAAGCGTTTATCTTTTAGAAAGGGCTTTTTATCTGTGATTCTGATGTTGAAAAGCCTGTAGATATACATGTTTATTAAAAATGTCAACTAATAGATATGCAAACATACATATTCCTCAGCCACTTTATTAGAAACCCTACCACTGCAGCTCCACTTCGCTGGTGTACAGTTAGAGACAGTAGCTCATCTCTTGATGCAGAGTTTATGTTAACCATCCTCTAGCCAGTTGCTGACCAGAGTAAAGTGATAGCAAAAATATGACAATAATATTAATAATAATACTTTCAGGATGCACGATATGCATCACAACATTCCATTTTTTGAAGTGAGCAAGTTAGAAGACAAAATGCACCAGCAAAACAGAAGTGCAATGAACTAAGAACATGAGGAAAGTCAAACAATAAATGAATGCATTAAAAACATTAAAAATTAAAATGATTAAAAGTAATGATTAACATTAAATAATGGCACAATTGATTGATATCCGCTCTACTCTGTTTTACTATGCAGTTTATGCACTAACAATAGACTGACAGTTGTTGTTTAGACGTTCTCTATAATTGGTCTAAATCTGTCTTTTTCTCTTCAGTAAGTCGTTCAGTGTTCTAGCAGCACTGATGATACACATGACATACACTTTTGTGAGTAATGTGACCTTGGATCATCTGCCTCTACTACAGAGTCACTATTGGCTCTATATTTTTAGGCGGTGGATCATTCTCAACTTAGCAGTAACACTAACATGTTTAAGCAATCCTGCAGTCAGAAACTGACCAATGATGAATGAGGTAGAGAGGGGCTGATAAATTGCGCATTTGGGCTACAGCTGGGCAACAGTCTGTAACTGTACGAATATAGTTGTATGCAAAAGTTTGAACACCATCAAATTATATGTTTTGTTCATTTTCTAAGTGAAAGTAAGTTAAGCTTTTGCATATGACCGTACATAGTGGACCTGTAAGGCTGGGGGGGAGCTCATAAAGAAGGTTCATTTACATGTATTTGTCTCAGATGCAGATACAGATACTTACCGAACTATCTGTATATTACAGCTACTGGAGACGATGCTAAATATTCTTCTTGCTAAACTGTCACTGATGTCATTGTGACTCAGACTAGAAAACGAAAAAAAAAAACCCAAAAACATTATCACCAACATATGCATAAACAGTAATATACATCCAGGCACATATACATTGTACACTCACTCAAGCATGTTGACTTTGTGCAGGTGTGGGAGAAGCAGTTCCAGGCAGTGGTTAGTCAGCCGGCAGTGGCTGAGGTCCAGTTCTGACAAGTCATCAGTGTATTCCAGAAACAGCGCCAGTGATCTGCAGGCCTGTAGGTCCAGGTGAGCCTCACTGAGATCCACCTCTCCATCCAGGGCCTGAGAGAGAGCTACAGCGCGAAACATTCGCTCAGTCCCCACCTGGACAAGAGCCAGGAACTGAAGCAGCAGAGCTTTACTGCAGCTGAGAGAGAGAGAGAGAGAGAGAGAGACATAAAAACAAAGAGAAATGGAGAGTTAGTTATGAATATAGTCACATTCTGACAAGGCAGCTTTCAGTTTGAAGCTAAAGCTGAATTTTGTTCATGCCACTCCTGTATGAGCTCTGTCCTATGTGCGCGTCTCACCGTAGTCTGACCATGCACAAGGCAGAGAAGAGGACATCCACTCCAGCATCCTCTATCTCACAGTCCTCTAGAATAAGCTCTATGTGCTTCGGGGCTTTCAGAATGACAGTGCTGATGACTCTACAGTCCTCAGTGGTCAGATGTAGAGTGGTGTTCTCTGTTTGTGTAGTTAGGTCCAGACAGGCCCGGCACGAGAAGTCCAGTCTGTTCTGCAGAGAAGAGAGCACTGTTGTTGCTGCCTCCTTCTGGAGCTCAGAGACGCTGCAGCAGTGGAGCAGCTTCAGCAACAGGAGCCTGTCAACACTGACAACAAATCACAAACAGTTATATGAATTCATATAATATGTCTTCACTGGGTTAATGAAAATATAGATTGAATTCAAGAAAAGTAGTTTTCGGTTTTTACTTTAACTGTGTTTTTTTTTTAAGTTGAAGTGGGAAAGTGTAGAATTTGTCAGACACTCTTACCCAAAGCAACTTTAAATTTTAAGTATGTAAGTACAGAAGTAGGCAAATGTAGTCTTAGGAGTCTTGACAAAGAAGTTTTATTAGTATAGCAAGTTGTTCTTGCCCATTTAGGAAGTCTGCTGTGTGAAGGACAGTGGCGTTATCCACTATGCTATACCTATAAACGTTTGGCTCTGAATGAATAACAATAACAATTATAAACTAAACTGGCTTGATGTGATATGATAATGTACTGCAGCTCAGGCCTCTTCTCTGACTCAGTCTGCTGCCTATATTCTCAAAATTGTCTCTTTTCATTCCGTCCTTTCTGCTTTCCCTCTTTGCAGTCTTCACTGGACCAACTCTAAGTTTCATCTCTATTTATCGTTTATGTTGTCTTTTCTCTTTCTGTCCTCTCTGCCTTTTGCCTTTTTCTGGTTAAGCCAGCATTTTCCTAAAGGTAATAAAATGCTACAGTTATGTTGAATTAGGTCTATATGCAACATGATTCTACACAATGGTTTATTAATATAAAGCCTGCAGACCTACAAAGCATATCTAGGCTTGTTCAGTTGCAGTGCCTAAAGGCTTCACTGCACTTCACCACACAAAGGAATCAGTAAAGTAGGCTACAGTTAATAGCCTAATGTTGGTACCTATTTATATTCATAATTGGGTCTGCAATTAAATATCCTGACTTAAATAGTGTAAATCAGCCTCAAAAGGGATTATCTTTGAGTTGAATTACCTGAGATGGGAAACTCTATTGAGCACTGGCAGAATGCTCTCCAACTCCCTCTCTGGTATGGAGGTCCACAGCAGGCTGAGAGAGACAGCTGTGCAGCGCTGAAGGGTGAAGCGCAGGGCAGCACAGTGGAAAGAGTCCAGCTCTCTACTGTTCAGGTTGATACAATTCTTTATTGAACTCAAGAGGCTGGACACACAGTGAGCTGAGCCAGTCTCATATATCTCTCTGATGATGGACAGCACAACGCTGGAGCGCAGCCTGTGGAGATTACATCACATCCATCCATAAATGTAATATGTCAGCATGATAATCATACCATATCAGTGCATTCTGAAGTTGCATTTTGAAGTTCATCTGTTTCTTTGCATAATTTCAGCATTCTCAGCTCTGCAGTGACACTGACATAGTAGTGGTATATGAGAGAGTGTTGCACTGGTACAAGTGGATCACACAGCAGTGTCCGCAGGACCTTTTTAAACACTGTGTCCACTTTATTAGACATGCCTACTTTGTTGGTTCACCTTGTAGATTAGAATCAGAGTGAAGTCAGAGACAATGACTTATCTGTAGCTGTACAGTTTGTGTTAGTCATTCTCTAGTCCTTCATTGGTGGTCAGTATCTCATACAACACTGCTGTGTGGTACACTCTTTAGTGCTGAGAATGACCCGCATCACAAATAATAATGCTCAGTACTGATTTCTTTAAATGCTGAAGTCTTGTGGGTAAACTTACAGATAGCCTTTTACAAAGAAAAGAGTCAATATTGTTCCACACAACACTATTGGCTTTAAACAGTTGAAAAATATTGCCAATCTAGTTTTTAGTGCAAGACCAAATACTCTTTATATGGTTTAAATCTGGACCAGGCCGGAACCATTAGTAAAAAACATATTCTGATCTTTGTATCTCAAAATACTTTTCAGTGTTGTTGAACTGTTTGAAGCCATCAATGCTGAGTGGAACAATACTGACTCTCACTTGGCCGAAAAAGCAAAAGATTAAATAAGCCTCCAAGGTGAGTAGATTCCTTTTCAAATTCTGACTGTACAACTCTGCATTGGAACATGATGTTACTGTCTTACCTTTTGAAATGAACCTTATCAAGGAAAGGCAGAAGCTCCCTGGCATGTTTATAAGTAATACTCCTCTTCATGACATTCACAGTAACACAACAACCTCCTTGTTGGACAAAATAAATAAGCTCCTCCCAGCTGAGAGAACAGGAAGTCAGGTCTCCTCTCAACTTTTCTAGGAAGAAGCAGGTTAGCGTCCTATCCTTTACTTCATACACCAAAACAGCAAACTGCTGGAGAGTCTCTTTAGACAACCTACAAACACCGACAGATGGAAAGACACCCACACAGAAACAGTTTGTAAATGAACCATATTCTAAATTCTTGTACCTTTACTACATTTCCAATTTCCTACAAGTCCTTCCATAAACATACCTGATAGTCAGAGAACCAGGATGACACATGAGGCCAATGAGAGAATGAGCCTCCATCTCACACTCAGTGAGGTTCAGACACTGAACTGTCCAGATGTTCAGGAGGGAAGCCAAGCTGCTCAGGATCCTGGAGAGCTTCTGAGTTGACCAAACTCTCGTCAGAACCACAGACAGCTCCTCGATGACCAATGGAACGCAAGCTCTTTCTGCTCGAAATGCTTGGGCCATTCTTCCTACCACACTGTCATTCAGACTGACATAAAAAGTCAGAAAAACACATTAACAAAAGAATTAACAGACAACTTACTCTGCAAACGCCAGAGACCACCCTTCATTTAATTTCCAGTCAAAACAACAAAGAGGCATTTCAATTTTAAAGAAATCTGGAGGGATATTTTTCCACATGTCCAACAGCTTCTTGACAGCTACACACATCCTCCAGACTCATAGCTTTGTCTTGTCATGGTGGAAGGATGGACAGAAACACCTGTGGATTTTTCAGATTTGAAGTCAGAGTGGAGCTTGATTTTCTCCTTTCTTTCAAAGATGAAAGCTTTAAGTACTGTTTATCTGATGAAGACAGATTTGGTGGTCTACCAGGTCTTACACAGTTGAGGCCCATTTTCTCTCTGTCCATTATTCATTTTTGGAACTCTTACTTAACAGCAATTTTGACTAAAAATAATGGCTCTAGGTAAAAGGAGTATGTTTAAAATCACAAGTGTAAAGGGAGAAAACATTAAAAGTAAAAGGTGACTAAGTCATGTATGTCCTGATCTTTGTCAACATATTCAGAAATATTTTAAAGTCTAATCAAATTAGAAAACCTTTAACTAAAGGCGGCAAGCTTCAGTTTTGAGGACCCCTTCACCATTTCCTGTTGGTTCCCCAAGCTATAAACAGAGCCAGTTTATGAGGAGCCTGGCCTCTTTCTATTACCCCCGCAATATCAAAAACATGACAACAAAAAGCCAGAGGGCACCCACAAGCAAGTCCCCAATGAATGGGAGTTAATAGAGCTAAATGGCTAAAAACGAAAAGTTAAAATAGTTTCTAATCCCTTGCCCACAACTTTCCTTTAATTTTAGAAAGTAGAAGGATGTATTTCACTAAAAAGAAAAAAAACTTACCTATATATTTCCATTTTTTCAACAGCAAGCGGGTTTTGGGCAGCAGGAAGCTAGCATTACTGCCACTGAGTTCTGATTGGGTTGCGAGCCGAGCAGCTCACTGGCTGTTCGTGCCCACAGATATCACGGACGTACATGAGGCACCGTTTTAAACTCCTATAACCTGACTTTAAAAGCTCTTTAAAAAAATATAACAGCAGTGTTAAAATGCTTTATGCTATTCAGTTTTCAGGAAATGATTGCATTCTTTTACATTAAAAATGTTCCAGCATTTATAAAATATGATTTTGCTCAAGTGCTCCATCTTAACCCATTCATTTTAGACTTGCTCAGGAGCGCCCTCTAGCGTTTGAGAAACCCAGAGTGGAAATTTACCTCTTTACGAGTTCTCCGCTATAACCACTCTAGCCACAACCACTCTGGTACTAGCTATAGTAATACAATATATCTACTGACAGTGAAACACTGACCGATGGGTCATCTTACTAACGTAAATGCTGTTTTTGGCTTATGATGTGAGGTGACTTGTTTAACGTTCAATTGTGCTGTTCTATTAAAGCATTACTTTTATAAGGTCACTAGATGGACTTAAAGTATGATTGCATTTTCAGGTCCTGAAATTTAAATACAAAATTGTATCACCTATAAAAACCTAAATCCACTCAACTTCAAAGTTAACAAAAGAGCTAACATATATCATTTCAAAATATGCATGGCTAACTAAAAAATAATAAAGATGGTTATGTGTCATATGTGGCAAGCAGAACAAATGAGAATAGGCATTTCTTTAGGTCTGACAGTGTGGACAAAAATCCAGTACTAATATATATAAAGTTGAAGAATCTGTAACACTGACGAGTGTACATCTAGTAAGTTCTACCTACCAGAGTTTATGTAGGTGTGTAATGTGTCTGAAGAGAAGCACGGCTCCTCTGAGAGAGATGGCTCGGGGCTTTAGAGTGAGGTTGAGTTGGGAGGGTGAGAGCCCCAGTGCTCTCCCCACAGCTCTGCACTTCTTACTCAGTAAAACTCCATTTACTATGAAGGTAGAGTCCATAGCAGCAAGTAAAGCAGTCAACAATTCCGTCTCTTCTGTATACTTAACAACTAGTTCACTTAAACATGGGATAAAGGATTCTGCATATCTAAAACAAGAAGTGCAAAAAAGTTACAGTAAGTTAAACAAACTATCATTAGTCTAAATTGAACCAAAAAACATTCTCTCATCTTTTAAATACACACAAATAGCAAATTAAGTGATTGTGCTTATAGGCATTGTGACAGTTTTCCCCAGATAGTTTCGATCTTTATCTTTCTTGCCGAAGCTTTGTCTCTTGTTCCTTATAGCTCCACCACCTCAGTATCCTGTTTACCTGTGTCTTGTGTGTAATGCTGTGTCCAAGTGTTGTTGGGCACTGAGAATAACCAGTTTTTCTACTTAAAAAGTGCACCTGAATGCTTGACAAAGTCATGTTTACAAGTGGGGAAAATAGAAATGCTTGATTACACACAAGTTTATGAGATGACAAATAATGCGACCTTTCACCTTTTCCACCAGCAGAAAATTATAAACTTGGCAGTGAATGGGGACAAAACCACCTGATGCACTTCCTACATGATTTCTGTGCTTTTAAATATAGCAAAAAAGCAATTTTCCATGTAGTGGGTGTATCTTTCAACAAGCAACCGGCAGAGTAAAGCTGTATTTATTAGTCAACCGTGTGCTACATACAACCTCCCAGTGACCACACAAATGCAGCATAACCCCACTCAGTAACTGTTTTCAGGTGATTTTTGTCTGTACTTCTCTGTATATCTACATACTGCACTAATGAATGCACTTCTAATGCACTATTGTACTATTTTTGGCATAATATTTCATATGGTAGTGTGTGGTTTTGGATGCACCTTTTGCCTTGCATTTGCCTGAACACTGTTCCTTAATTTCTACTTTACCCTTTCACTGTGGTGACTGTTTTTGAGCCTTCTTCCTGACTGTTGGAAAAAAACATTTGAAGCTTTGGAGCACTGAAAACTGGTGGTTTGCATAAATGATAGCAGCCATAATCCTGAGAGTAGAGAAAATCTCACGGATTTGCTTCATGATTTCAGTCTGACAAGTGCATAAGAAACCTTCAGTGTTTCTTTTGAACTTGCAAATAATCATGCTCCTATAGTAAAGTTCCACAAAAGTGCATTATTGTTTGCACAAATATTTTCTTTCATCCTTTGTATTAACGTATTACTTATTCATTATTACTCCAAATACATGACTGACGGTTTCACATCCCTCAGCTTAAGGGATAAGGGACAGCACTAAGACTTTCCAAATAGTCAAAAGCCCTTCTGCTGCGTCAGTCATGCTTGAAGTGTCAGATATTGTCAATCATGAGGTAAGAGTAATTTGATACAAGCAACCTCATTATAAAATTCAAATAAAAATGTCAGAAAGTGTTGTACCTATCCTTAATGAGGAAGAAATGTCACTTTAAATTCAGTACATTTCAGTTTTATCATTCATTACTGAGATTTGCCCTGATTTCTTGCATTACATGATGCAACTTGACCGATCACGTGCTGCTTTTAAATGGAGTGGTAACTGGCACATATGGCGGATTATTGGCTGTGGTGTAAAGAGCGCTAATTATATTTTGAAATCTAATAAAACTGCAAAATGTAGCTCAAACCTGAGTTGTGAGATGTAGGGCAGACATTGAAGGAAACTCCTCACTTCACTCTCTTCATCGGACCAGCCCCACAGCTCCACTGGTTTCTTCTCTGTTTGTAGTTTCAGTACTTCTAGAAGGAGGGAGGCTTTTCTCTCTGAGAGGTCTAGGAACCATATTGCAGGAGCTGACTGGTAAACTGGCAGTAATGCTGGAAGAACATTCCTGCCTGTTTCAGTCTCATACTGCTTCACATGCGAGTACAGATCCAGCAGGAAATCACTCTGTATGTAGCTGAGTGTATGTCTAGGGAAAGAGCTGTAAGTGCACACTGATGTTAACAGCTCCAGTGTCTTCAGTCGCATCCGTCTCTCACTCTCTGCTGCTTGATGAATCAGATTCACCAGAAACTTGGCAACTTCTTTATTATTACCATTGAGGGAAAACCTAAAAAAGTGCATATTAAATATGAGGTCAGGACAATTCACATAATACAAAGTTTGCAAAAATACTTACTATTTGCCAGACAAAACATATTTCCTTACTCATTACTTTACTTCTATGTTAATCTGTGACAAATTATCTCACAATATCTGCAGACAATTTTGCTTGTTTCAAGCATTACTTCTTAAAACAAGCAAGATTATCTGCCAATATGGTGAGATAATTATTTTTTAAAATGGAAATTAAGTAAAAAATGTTAAATAATGTTATAATATTCTTACATCAGTCTAACAAAGCCAAAACTAATTTAAACAGTGCAGCCCAGGGGCTAAATTCCTGTATTTTACTGAGAGCCACAGAATCACTAAAATCTACCCCTGTGCTGAGAGATTTAGTTAAAAGACACTCAGTACTCAGCTAAACTGTCCAAATGGAAGAACCAGGATATATTCCCTTCATGCTCATCATGGACAGTTTTATGCCTTAAAGGCTCCCAATAATGTTTAGGGAAGGAAAAAATCCTGACAAATTCTAAAACAACAGGGTTTATCAGCTGTAGTGCGCACAGCACTAATTATACTGTAAGTCTAACAAATCTGCAGTATTTAGCTCAAACCTGAGTTGTGAGATGTAGGGCAGACACAGAAGGAAACTCCTCACTTCACTGTCTTTATCTGAGAAGCTTCTCAGCTCCACTGGTTTCTTCACTGTTTGGAGTTTCAGCACTTCTGGTAGGAGGGAGGTTCTTCTCTCTGAGAGGTTTATGATCCACTCTGCAGGAGCTGACTGGTAAACTGGCACTAATGCTGGAAGAACACTCCTGCCTGTTTCAGTCTCATGCTGCTTCACATGTGAGTACAGATCCAGCAGGAAAACACTCTGTCTGTAGCTGTCTGCGTCTCCACAAGGGAAAGAGCTGTAGGTGCACAGTGAGGTTAACAGCTCCACTGTCTTCGCTCCTGTCTGTCTCTCACTCTTTGCTGCTTCATGGAACAGATTCACCAAAAACCTGATAACATCTTCATTATTATCATGGAGGGAAAACCTACAAAAAGGGCATACTAAATATGAAGCAGGAAACAAACGAAATAATACAAACCTTTGCTAAAAAGTCTACTGCATTTTGATTTTCCATAAACAAATAAACATGAAACAATATTTAAACAAAAACACATCAAGATTTTGTGTAGACATTTAGAATTTTGGCAGAACTAGATATTTTTCCTGCAAGTTCATCATGATGGACAGTGCTGTGTTTCATAGTCTCTGGTTCCAACAATGTTTAGGGAAGGAAAGAACTTTGGACAAATTCTAAAACAGGGTTTATCAGCTGTAGGGCACACAGCACTAATTATACTGCATGTTCAATAACTCTGCAAAATGTAGCTCAAACCTGAGTTGTGAGATGTAGGGCAGACACAGAAGGAAACTCCTCACTTCACTGTCTTTATCTGAATAGCCTCTCAGCTCCACTGGTTTCTTCACTGTTTGGAGTTTCAGCACTTCTAGGAGGAGGGAGGTTCTTCTCTCTGAGAGGTTTATGATCCACTCTGCAGGAACTGACTGGTAAACTGGCAGTAATGCTGGAAGAATATTCCTGCCTGTTTCAGTCTCATAGTGCTTCTCATGCGAGTACAGATCCAGCAAGAAAGCACTCTTTATGGAGCTGTGTGTATACATATAAGGGAAACAGCTGTGGGTGCACAGTGATGTTAACAGCTCCAGTGTCTTCTCTCCTGTCTGTCTCTCAATCTCTGCTGCTTGACAGAAGAGAATCACCACAAACTTTGTAACCTTTGTATTATTATCATGGAGGGAAAACCTACGAAAGGGAGTATTAAACATGAAGTCAGAACCACTGACATAATACAAAGTTTTGCTAAAATTCAGGAGGATTTTTATTATCTATGAAGAAATAAACAAGAAATGATATTTAAACAAAAACACACCAAGCTTTAGTGGATACACTTAGGATTTCTCTCTCTTTTCAAAGGCCATGCCAAATGAAAAAGAGAAAACATAAAAAATTCTGCAGCAGTGCTGGAGCAGTTTGGCGTTCAGTGCTGAGCTCAGGTTCACAGTAGCAGCACTCAGTGTGAGGAGAAAAACTCTAGCTTTCTGATAGATTCAGTTTTCTACGGTACTCAGCATTAACTTAATTATCAATTTACTACTCACTAGCTATCAGCACCACTAAACTACCAGTTATTCAAATTTAAATAAGAAATGTTTACATGGTGAACGTGTACACTTTGTAAAAAAAACTTGGTATACAGTAGCGGGGTGTATCAGAGCATAAGACTCCAAATACAGTAATATTTGGATCAGTATGTATTTAGCTTGTAAAACTCTGTTAACAGCAAACATTTAAAATAAACAAAAAATGGCAAATGGAATAAGTAAACACTACTTTGGGCCAAATCATGTTCAGACAAATATTTTTAGAGAAATAACAATCGTTTGTGCAGTTCATATTTCAAGAAAATGTGCACACTCCCAAAGCTAAATTAGTTTTTCAGTCAGAACTGAGTGCTGCACAGACTCAGCAGCCCTAAATAATGGTAGTGTTAATGTTAGTATAGATAAAAAAGTAATCCATTACAAGCTGCTGATTACTTCTCTCAAAATGGAATGCCTGAGAAGCAGTAAATAATAATCTTACTCATTCTTTAACTTGTATTTTACTCTGTACCAAATTAATCTCACTATATTGGCAGACAGATTTGCTTGTGTCTTGCATTAGTTCTTAAAACAAGTAAACATATCTGCCAATACAGTGAGATCATTTCCCTTAATAAAATTACATAGGCAAAAATAATATCATATAAATGTTAAAATATTCTTACAATAATCTCAGAGTCTAAACTAATTTTAAAAAAAAGTGCATCCAGGGGGCTCCATTCCTGTCTTTTATGTTGTGCCCTAGAATCACTAAATCCACCCGTGTTGACAAACTTAGTTTAGAAACTCTGAACTAAGCTTAACTGTTCCAATGAGAGAACGAGGATATTTTCCATTCATGTTTATCATTCATGTGTTGTGTCTTAAAGTCTCTGCTTCTAAAAATGTTTAGGGAAGGGAAAACATCTGACAAAATCTAAAACAAAAGGATTGTCAGCTGTGGTGCACACAGCACTAATTATACTGCAGGACTAATAAATCTGCAAGATTTAGCTCAAACCTGAGTTGTGAGATGTAGGGTAGACACCGAAGGAAACTCCTCACTTCACTCTCTTGGTCTGACCAGCCCCACAACTCCACCGGTTTCTTCACTGTTTGGAGTTTCAGCACTTCTAGGAGGAGGGAGGCTTTCCTCTCTGAGAGGTTTATGATCCACTCTGCAGGAACTGACTGGTAAACTGGCAGTAATGCTGAAAGAACACTCTTGCCTGTTTCATATGTGCCTGTTTTACAAGGCTTCATATGTGAGTACAGATCCAGCAGAAAGTCACTCTGTCTGCAGTTGTTTGTATATCCATAAGGGAAAGAGTTGTAAGTGCACAGTGACGTTAACAGATCCAGTGACTTCTCTCCTGTCTTTCTTTCACTCTCTGCTGCTTCATGGAACAGATTCACCAGAAATGCAGCACTCTCTTCATTATTATTATAAAAGGAAAACCTACAAAAAGCCATATTAAATATGAAGTCAGAACATGAGATAATGAGATAAAACAAAGTTTTGGTAAAATTCAGCTTTTTTTAAAATTTCCATAAACAAACAAACAAACAAACAAACAAACAAACAAACAAACATGAAATGATATTTAAACAAAAAACCCACAGAGTTTTGAGTAGACATTCAGAATTTCTTTCTCTTTTTCAAGGTCACACTGAGTGCTGAGAAAAAAAGACAAGAAAGCCGCAACAGTTTGGTGTTTAGTGCTGAGCTCAGGTTCACAGTAGCAGCACTAAGTGTGAAGACAAAACTGCCTGCAGTCCAGACCTTTCACCAATAGGAAACATTTAGCGCATCATGAAATGAAAAATCCGGCAAAGTACACCCAGGACTGTTGAGCAGCTGAAATCCCACATCGGACAATAATGGGACAACATTCCTCTCCCAAAACTCCAGCAATTGGTCTCCTCACTTCCCAGATGTTTACAGACTGTTGTTAAAATAAGAGGGGATGCTACACAATGGTAGACACGGCCCTGTCCCAACTCTTTTGAGATGCATTGCTGTCATCAAGTTCTAAATGAGTTAATGTTTTTCATGAAATGGTTAAACATCTAACTTTCAGCACATGATATGTGTTATATGTTCTACTGTGAATAAAATACGGATCTTTGAGATTTGCAAATCATTGCTCTGTTTTTATTTATATTTATTTACATTTTACACAGCATCCCAACTTTGTTGGAATTGGGGTTCCAAAAAAGGTTGGGACGCTGTGTAAAATGTAAATAAATGTAAATAAAACTTTAACTTGCATTTGTGGATTGCATGGTGAACTGTGTTTACAGACAATGATTTCTGGAAGTGTTCCTGAGCCCATGCAATGATTTCCAGTACAGAATCATGCCTGTTTTGAATGCAGTGCCATTTGAGGGCCCGACGATCACGCGCATCCAATATTTACTTATTCACTTTCAACATCTGATATGTGTTCCATCTTCTATTGTGAATAAAATATTGGTACATTGGTCTGTTTTTATTTACATTTATTTACATTTTACACAGCATGCCAACTTTTTTGGAATTGGGATTGTATTATAAATTACTGATTATTTCTCTCAAAATCGAAAGAGATTACGTTACTTATTACTTCCTAGAAAAAAAGTATTCTCAGTACTCATTCTAAAACAACAGGGTTTATCAGCTGTGGTGTGCAGAGCACTAATTAATCAGCAAGTCGAATAAGTCTGGAAAAAATTAGCTCGAACCTGAGTTGTGAGATGTAGGGCAGACACTGAAGGAAACTTCTCACTTCACTCTCTTTATCTGAGCAGCCTCTCAGCTCCACTGGTTTCTTTGTTTGGAGTGTCAGCACTTCTAGGAGGAGGGAGGCTTTTCTCTCTGAGAGGTTTATGATCCACTCTGCAGGAGCTGACTGGTAAACTGGCACTAATGCTGGAAGAACACTCCTGCCTGTTTCAGTCTCATACTGCTTCACATGTGAGTACAGATCCAGCAGGAAAATACTCTGTCTGTAACTGTCTGCATAAGCAAAAGAGCTGTAGGTGCACAGTGAGGTTAACAGCTCCACTGTCTTCTCTCCTTTCTGTCTCTCACTCTCTGCTGCTTCATGGAACAGATTCACCAAAAACCTGGTAACATCTTTATGATTATCATGGAGGGAAAACCTACAAAAAGAGCATATTAAATATGAAGTCAGAGCAAACTAAATAATGCAAGCTTTTGTAAAAATTGAGCTGCATTTTGATTTTCCATAAACAAATAAACATGAAACAATATTTAAACAAAAACACATCAAGATTTTGTGTAGACATTTAGAATTTTGGCAGAACCATGATATTTTTCCTGCAAGTTCATCATGATGGACAGTGCTGTGTCTCATAGTCTCTGGTTCCAACAATGTTTAGGGAAGGAAAGAACTTTGGACAAATTCTAAAACAACAGGGTTTATCAGCTGTAGGGCACACAGCACTAATTATACTGCATGTTCAATAAATCTGCAAAATGTAGCTCAAACCTGAGTTGTGAGATGTAGGGCAGACACAGAAGGAAACTCCTCACTTCACTGTCTTTATCTGAATAGCCTCTCAGCTCCACTGGTTTCTTCACTGTTTGGAGTTTCAGCACTTCTAGGAGGAGGGAGGTTTTTCTCTCTGAGAGGTTTATGATCCACTCTGCAGGAACTGACTGGTAAACTGGCAGTAATGCTGGAAGAACACTCCTGCCTTTTTCAGTCTCATAGTGCTTCACATGTGAGTACAGATCCAGCAGGAAATCACTCTGTCTGTAGCTGTGTGTATGTCCATGAGGGAAAGAGCAGTAAGTGCACACTGATGTTAACAGCTCCAGTGTCTTCTCTCCTGTCTGTCTCTCAATCTCTGCTGCTTGATGGATCAGATTAATCAGACACTTAGTAACCTTTTTATTATTACGATAGAGGGAAAACCTAAAAAAGGGAATATTAAATATGAAGTCAGAACAACTGACATAATACAAAGTTCTGCTAAAATTCAGCTGCATTTTGATCTTCCACAAACATAAACATAAAATGATATTTAAACATACACCAAGCTTTAGTGGAGACATTCAGAATTTCTCTTTTTAAAAGCCATGCTAAATAAAGAGAAGAAATAGATCCGAAATCTGCAGCAGTGCTGGAGCCATTTGGGGTTCCGTGCTGAGCTCAGGTTCACAGTAGCAGCACTCAAGTGTGAGGAGAAAAGCCTTAAAAGTTTAGCTCTCTGATAGAGTCAATTTTCTATGCTATTCCACATTAACTATTAATTCACTACTAACTACCTACCAGTACCACTGAACTACCAGTTATTCAAATTTAAATAACAAGTGTTCACACAGTGATGTTTGTATAATTTATAAAAGACTTAGCATACAGTAGCAGGGTGTGCATCAGAACATAGGACTCCAGAAACAAAAATATTTGAATCAGTATGTATTTAGTTTGAAAGACACTGTTTACAGTAAAATTTTTAAAAAGCACAAAATGGCAAATAGACTAAACAAAAAACTACTTCAGGTCCATTCATGCCCAGACAAATATTTTCAGAGAATTATTAATCGTTTATGCAGTCCATATTTCAAGAGAAAGTGCACACTCCCAAAGCTAAGTTTGTTTTTCAGTCAGAAGAGCGCTGCACAGAATCAGTAGACCTACAAAATGCTTACAATAATTTTAGTATAGATAACTCTGGTGTTGAGGTTGTTACTAAAAAAAAAAAGAATTCATTATAAGTTACTAATTTTTTTTTCTGTCAAAACAGAATGAGATTTTGTTACTTAGTACTTCATGGAAAAAAAAAAAAAATCATTTCACTTATTACTTCTATGTTACTATTCTATGTTACTTCTAAGTGTCTCTATTACCGGCAGATAATCTTATTTCTTAAAATAAGCAAAATTATCTGCCAATATAGTGAGATCATTTCCCTTAAAAAAAGTCACCTAAACTCTTGATGTTCTTACAACTGTATTATAGAGATTAAAAATGTGCATCCAGGGGGCTCCATTCCTGTCTTTTAGCTAGAGCCCCCAAATCACTAAATCCACCCGTGTATTGAGAGTCTTAGATAAAACGCTCAGTACTCAGCTAAACTGTCCTAAACTGGTCATAACCAGGATAATTTTCCCTTCATGTTCATTATGATGGACAGTTTGGTGCCTTATAGTCTCTGCCCCCAACAATGTTTAGCGAATGGAAGAAATCCCAACAAACATTAACAGGGTTTATCAGCTGTTGTGCACAATGCACTAAATATACTGCAATCCTAATAACTCTGCAACATTTAGCTCAAACCTGAGTTGTGAGATGTAGGGCAGACACTGAAGTAAACTCCTCTCTTCACTCTCATCATCTGACCAGCCACACAGCTCCACTGGTTTCTTCACTGTTTGGAGTTTCAGCACTTCTAAGAAGAGGGAGGTTCTTCTCTCTGAGAGGTTTATGATCCACTCTGCAGGAGCTGACTGGTAAACTGGTACTAATGCTGGAAGAACAGTCCTGCCTGTTTCAGTCTCATACTGCTTCACATGTGAGTACAGATCCAGCAGGAAAGCACTCTGTCTGTAGTTGTCTGTACCTCCATAAGGGAAACAGCTGTAAGTGCACACTGATGTTAGCAGCTCCAGTGTCTTCACTCCAGTCTGTCTCTCACACTCTGCTGCTTGATGGAACAGATTCACCATAAGCTTAACATGTTGCTTACCCACAAATCTAAATAAAAGTACAAGAACAAGAGGAATATGTATTGATTACATTGTTAGAACAATTTACAAAACAGAAAAATACAACTTTTACTAAGTTGACTTTTTAAAGATACACTTAAAAATAGTAATGTGCAGCAATTCATAACATTAACCTATATTGTTAATATTTTGTTAACAACATTAACAAACTCTTAAACAAAGCTGTTTAATTAGGGAAGAGACTTTCACAATTTCTTTTTTTTCAGGGTCACACTGAATGATGAGTAGAAAACAATCAGAAAGATTTGAAAGATTGGGGTTCGGTGCTTAGGTTCATAGTAGCAACACTCAGTGGGAGCAGAAGTTTGAGAACTATAGCTCCTCTAATACACAGTTGTAGCGAACACTGGCTGAAACGAACACTGGCCGAAACATGACCTCAAGTTGAATGTTTACTTAAACTCATCAACAACCAAAAGCTAAAAGCCTTTTGGCTCCAGTGAGTCTGGAGCTGGAGGTGTAAATCTGTCACGTATCACCCCCAACTCCCAAAATCAGTCGATTTACGGCTGAATCAAGAGACTGCACCCCTCTCCTTTGACCTGGAGAAAAACAGGACCCTTCACTGGAATGCAGCTGCACGGCTCTCCAAAATCCTGTGGACAAATTTTTCTTAAGTAACAGAAAGTACATTTCTAAGGTGTTTGTCCCTTCCAAACTACAACCATTCGTTAGAACTCTTTTTAACTAAACTAGACATACCAAAACGGAATTTGTACGACTTTGGACGGCAAAATTCCAACTTTCTAAATTCCCTAGGGATCTCAAGCATGGACCCACAGCACCCCCAAGGGGTGAAAACGAGGATTACCACACCACCACCTGAGGACTGTTGCTCACAAAGGATCCCAGGAAAACTCATTGATATGCATGCTCGACTATCAACTTTATCTAATTTCACGAGTGATGATGCTTGTATTTGTATACTCAGTTACTTAAAGTGTATTCATCCTTTCTTTGTCAGACGTTAGGAATGTGTGGGATAAATGTCTGAAGTTACCGAAATAACCATTTAAAGTAGTGATTTTAGACCACTATGCACCTAGGTTTTCTTGTCACTTATTTTATTTAGCCTTCTATATCTTTACTCTTCTCATTTACTTAATTGTCATTTGAAATAATGATTTTACTGTGTTGAAAGTTCCTGCAACGAAAAGACAGCCAAGGATTATCTATAAGATTGTTTCTGCCTTTGCCATAGTTGTTCTCAGATAATGTGGGTAGAAACTGCACGTAGATACCTAAATGTTAGGTTTGTAGGTTATGGATTTTAGTAACCTAATTGATCTGAAAAACAAAGGAGGGCGTTCCCTGGTAGGACAGAGAAACCCCCACCAATCAGGACCAAGAATTAGGAATAGCTAATTACCCGTTAGGTGAGAGAACCTATCAACACCTGGGTTCCACCCCTGAAGGGAAGGGCCTCCAGCTGAACAAAACCAGAGTGCACCGCAAAATTTAGGGGAGTTCCTGCGTTCGCAACAAGCTTCTAAGTCTGTGCCGGCCTAGGTCAGAAAGACAGGTCAGAAGTATTAGGACGCTAAATTTTTAGATCTGAAACCTTTGTTCGCCTACACACCTTAAGTTTGAACCACCCTCAGAGAAGGAAGGTGGATATTTCTTGTCTGGCCCGGGAGGATATATCCATAACTTTTGATTCTGATAAAGAGAGGTAGTTAGTTAAATTAGTATCACCAGCCTCAGAACCCTGATTGCAACCTGAACCTCGCCAGCGGAGTGGGAGCGGTTCTGACGCCACGGAGACCCAGCATCGCACCCAGAGCCACGCACTGATCTGTGAACAGATCGACCATCGAAAGGCTGCCCAAGCTTCACTGTCAGACGGCCACGAGACGCCTCCGCCCAATCACTGACGGGAAGGCGCGTGCCCGCACGGAGATGCAGCATCCACGGCCAGCGAGGAGAGGAACCACCGCGTGAGCTCCAGCCTTCGATCGAGTCTGTCCTGAGACGACCCCGCCTGAAGTCAGCCCCCGACTCCCACGTAAACTGGAACCATCAATTTGCAGTCAGGGCCCTGACACCAATTTATTTAGTTCTTCCCGTCCAGGCTTAGGTTAATTCTCTAGAGGCTCTCCCAAGCGACTTCCCAAACCACACTGCCTCATACCATTTAGCCGTGAATCACTCTAACTTACTCGAGCTATTTTGTCTTTCATTACTATCACTTTGTTTTGTTTTGTTTTCTTGTTTTATTTTATATTGTTTATCATTGAATGTAGTCCAAAAGTAGTTTGATATTTAGCCAATAAATTCTCTTTTCTGAAGCATCCTTTGGTGCGAGCGTTTCTCTCTCTTGCCCTGGTCTTTAGACTTCAAATAAATCGGGGTTACCTCACACCCTCACATAAGGTTCTAGCAATAATAATATTAAAAAATTGCAAAACCCGTTACACAGTTACATTGGCATATGCAGAATGTTTTTAGCTAGACCTGTGGAAAAGTGAGAAGGCCACTTAGGTAGACTTTTTTTTCAGGCCACATTTTTCAAACACAGTACGTCCTGCAATATCACAAAATGAGGCTACAGCTTTTTGGTGACAGCAGGACAGTCATCATACATAAACACTTCCACCCTCTGTTAATACAAAAACAATACCAAGATTGTGTACACACCAACGAAAATGCACAATTCACATAAACCCAAGCAACACTGCGACACCCTTTACCATATAGCACGCATGCTCTCGTCATAGGCACAGCTTTTTGCCCAATGAAGGCTACATAATTATGTTAAATTGAGACAGCTTAAATCTACAAAAGATGAGGAAAAACAACTTTGTAAACTTAGAAATCTCAGACTAAAGCATACTGCAATCGTGAACATGAAAAAATGTTTTTGAAAAAAAAAAACCTTGACATAAGTCATCATTCAATACCAGGACCCACAGTCAGTTCTGTGCTGTACTCAGCCATGAATTAGTTAAGTGAACTATTAATTCACAACTTTGTAGTTATCAGCAACACAGAACAGATTTTTTTTTTTTATGTGGATTATAAGTAATGATTTGCAGAATGAGTTTAATATGTTCTATATAGCAGCAGAGTGCATCAGAATGTAAGAGTCCACAACCCTTTTTGGATTAGTATAAGATTAAATCACAAAATTCACAACCAAATAACAGTCTGGGAAAATGTAAGAAAAATACATCAGACTGATCAGCTTCCAAACAAGGAATAAAAGTGGGTGACCTGGGGCCTTCCATATTCATCAAGATGTCCAGTTTTATGTCTTATTGTCTCTACTTCACAATGTTTTAAAGAAGGACGAGAAAAAGTATGCAGCTTCATTCTAAAATAACAGGCAATATAAGCTGTGGTGCCAAGAACACTAGATCTTGTAATACAAGAGAAATAAACTTGCAAACCTTGGATTAAACCTGAGATGTGAGATGTAGGGCAGACACTGAAGGAAACTCCTCACTTCACTCTCTTCATCGGACCAGCCGCTCAGCTTCACTGGTTTCTTCGATGCTTGGAGTTTTAGCACTTCTAGGAGGAGGGAGGCTTTTCTCTCTGAAAGGTTCACAATCCATTCTGCAGGAACTGACTGGTAAACTGGCAGTATTGCTGGAAGAACATTCCTGCCTGTTTCAGTCTCATATTGCTTCACGTGTGAGTACAGATCCAGCAGGAAAGCACTCTGTATGTAGCTGTCTGTATGTCCATGAGGTAAAGAGCTGCAAGTGCACACTGACATTAACAGCTCCAGTGTCTTCAGTCGAGTCCGTCTCTCACTCTCTGCTGCTTGATGGAAGAGATTTACCAAAAACTCAATATGTTTTGTACCTGCAAATCTTAAATAAAGAACAAGAAGAAAATGTATTAAATATGTAGTTAGTACAATTAACAAAACAACAGAAAGTCATCAGGTGCATCATTTTTTCTAAACAAATGCTAAAGTATGCATAGTAACATAACATTAACAAATGCAGCCAGATTTATGGCATGATTACTGTTTAAAAGATTTGTTCAATCAATCAGAGAAGAAACTTTTAGAATTTCTTTTTCCTTTTTTAAGGCCTCACTGAACAAGTATAAGAAATGGATTAGAAATCTGCAGCAGTGCTGGAGCAGTTTGGGGTTCCGTGCTGAGCTCAGGTTCACAGTGGCAGAACTCAGTGTGAGGAGAAAAATCTTATAACTGAAGCTCTCTGGTACAATCAGTTTTCTACTGTGCTTAATAATAACAGATCTATTTATTCACTACTCACTAGCTATCAGCACCACCAGAAAACCTTTTTTCCAGATTTGTTTCAAAAGTGATGATTTGCAGAATGGTTACACGACAGATAGTAGTATGTCCAGAAATTAGTGCTGTGTTGGTGCTGCACTGTCCTGTCTGTTTACTGTGTCTAATGTCTGTTTAATTTTTCGTATTTATTGTATTGTTTCTTGTTTAATTTTTTGTTTGCACACTTGTGTGTGCCTGTTTGCACTTTGTACTCTTTTGTTCCATGTTGCACATTGTTCCTGGAGGAACGTAATTTCACTCGACTGTGTACTTAGGTCACAATATTCATGAACAAAACTAAAATACAGGAAGACTAACTCTGGTCAAAACAGGATAAAAGTATTGTCTCTTTTTCACAATGTTTTAAGAAAGGAACACAGAAAGCAAGTAGCTACATTCTAAAATAACAGGCTTTATCAGCTGTTTTACACAGAACACAGATATTATATTGCAATAAAATCAAACTAGTAAAATTTAGCTCAAACCTGAGTTGTGATATGTAGGGCAGACACTGAAAGAATCTCCTGACTTCACTTTCTTCATCTGACCAACCGCTCAGCTTCACTGGTTTCTTCACTGCTTGGAGTTTCAGCACTTCTAGGAGGAGGGAGGCTTTTCTCTCTGAGAGGTTTATGATCCACTCTGCAGGAATTGACTGGTAAACTGGCACTAATGCTGGAAGAACACTCCTGCCTGTTTCAGTCTCATACTGTTTCACATGTGAGTACAGATCCAGCAGGAAAGCACTCTGTTTGTAGTTTGTATCTCCATATGGAAAAGAGCTGTTAATGCACAGTGATGTTAACAACTCCAGTGTCTTCTCTCCTGTCTGTCTCTCACTCTCTGCTGCTTCATGAAAGAGACAGACTACAAACTCCATATATTTTGTACCTGCAAATCTTAAATAAGGAACAAAAAAAACAAAAAAAACAACAACATTTACATATGAAGTGAGAATAATTCACAAAACACCACAAGAATTCAATTTTTGCTACATTTGCTACATCATTTTTTAAAATAAAGTCTTCACACCAAGGAAACATAAAATGTTCAGCAATTCATAGCACTCATACCAAATGCAGCCAGATTTATAGCCTGATTACTGTCTAAACAAATGTATTCAATCAGAGAAGAGACCAGAATTTCTTTCTATTTCAAGGCAGCACTGAACAAGTAGAGTAAATAGAAAATCAGAAATCTGCAGCAGTGCTGGAGCAGTTTGGGGTTCAGAGTAGCAGCTGCCAGGAGAAAAGTCTTTAACTGTGGCTGGAGTCCAGTTCAACACTGCACTCACTGCTTGTTTTCCAGATTTGTTTTTAACAGTGATGACATGCATAACTGGTTTTCAACTTTTCTATATTGTAGCAGGGTCCACTGGAACATAAGAGTCCATTTTGGATTGGTATATGATTAGATTACAAAATTCACAAGCAAAATTAAAAGGAGAAGAAAATCCAATATGGGAAGATTGATTCATGTCAAAATAAAAAATAAAAATTCATTTTAATACTGCAGTTCACATTTCAGGACAGGAAGTGCACAGCTACATTGCTCCACATGAGAAGCCAGGTTATTTCATTTGCATAAGTAGTGGGTGACATGGGACCCTCAATGTTTTGTGTCTCATGTTCTCTGCCTCAAATAATTTTGGGAGGAGAGACATAATGTGCTAATGATTTGATAAATCAGCAGCATTTAAAATAAATCTGTTACAAGATGAAGAAGCTGGCTGGTAAACCGGCACTAATGCTGGAAGAACACTCCTTGCCTGTCATACTGCCACACATGTACAGGTATATCAGTACAGGTCCAGTAGAAAATCAGACTCATTCTCACATCCATGTGACATTAACTTTACTGTTGCCTAAATGTTTGCTTTTTGGTCAAGAGCTGCATGCACACACCGATTCAATTTAAATGACCTCATGCTCTTTTCCCATTCATCCAATGATTGTGTCTAATTTCAAAAACTACTGAAAAACACATAGAAAAGACTCAGAACATGTGTGGAGAAACATAACTGAATTAAAAGACAAAATACATCACATTTAAATTTCTGTTTTATGCAAACTTCCAAACCATTCTTAGCTCACACTTTCACGATCAATTCACCATTCAACATAATTTTATTACAAACAGCATTGTTTGGTAAATCAATGGTATATGGGTTAAAATCTGATTGTTCTGCTTGTTTTTCAATTTTATTTATCAGTTTTTCTTTTTTATTCTTAGATCTCAGGTACATTACTGCTTTGACTACAATGAATCAGAGTGTTGTCATATGAATATGTAAACATTGTGACGTTCTGCCACTGGCCGCGCTGCGCAGAGGCTCATGGAAGACACAGTAAAAAGGACTATTCACATTGCTAATTGTTGTTCGTTATGTTATGTGTTTGTGTATGTTATTTTGTGTCTGATATATGGATATTTGGGTTATTGGAGTGTTTTGCGTGTGAAGGGGGTGAGTTTAGTACATTAAAATGTTCCATTTCTGCTTGTGTCGAGGAGCAGGAGCAAAGCTTGGCGCAGAGAAAATGGCTTCACCTGACTCTTTGACTGAGAGATGGCCAATCGGTCCTCAGAAGTGGGATCTTTCACCTAAATTAGAAGAACTTCAGCGGAATATCGAACAATTCCGTGGCAAATGGTGACCAAGAAGACAAGCTGGCAGAAGAGAAGCTGACAGTGGAGAGGATGAGAAGACCAGCTTGACAACCGGCAAGCAAGAGAAGGCAGTGAAAGTGAAACAAATAAAAAAACAGTGATTCAGCAGCTGGCGAGAGAAGTAGTGAGCAGGGTAGCAAAACAGAAGCTGGCGAAAGTGAAAATGAAAACACGTATTCGGCTGCCATGTTTTGCTGGGAAAGGACCATGGGAACTGTACGCAGCGCACCTGCAGATAGGCACTCGGCTTTGTGGCTGGACAGAGGCAGACGCCACGATCCAGCAGTGCTTGGCTTTGCAGGGTAAAGCAGTCCCAGCACTCTTGGAATTGCCAGCAGAGCCGCATGGCAACCTAAATGCACTGTCCACAGCTCTCTAGCAGCAGTTTAGACAAATGCCAGCAGTGCCGTCAATCAGGAAGCTGCTTCTGGATAGGCTGAGTAAAAAAGGAGAGTGGATAAGTGTATTGGCAGAAGAACTGGGCACTATGGTGTAGCAGGCTTATCCAGTTTTCAAGAAAGCAGTTCAGGAGAAGAACTGAGGCATTATTGCAGGTCGCTAAACTGTTGGACCTCCAAGCTGCTGTCACAGAAGACAAAATGGCAGAGAGCATCCTCAACGATGAGGCTTCAAAGTGAGAAACACAGTGCAATGTGGCAGATGAGTCTAATGGGAGGAGCGCAGGTGAAATGGCCCCCGTGGATAGTATGTTGGTGATGTGGAAAAAAGGAATATTCACTCACCAAATGATGCAAGCCTCAGATGGCAGGAAATGAGCGTGACAGCTGGACGGCTAAGAGGATACCAACGCCCAGCTTGGCTCTATGACCTGCATGAGTCCATGTGAGAGGAAGAAAATGGATCCCAATCGCACTGGGAGGTCCGAACCAAGAGCATGAATTCTGGCTTGCACTATTACGGAAAGCCTGTATACTCAGTTTAGACTTTCTGGCCATGATGGGAGCCTTGGTTGACATTGTGAGGGCTATGCGAGTCTGAAGCACAGGGGAGAAGAGTCCAGCGGCAGGGTCGAGGCTCCCGGGCATCAAGGCATTTGCCTTCCATGAGGGAAACCTTTAGCACTAGAGGGGCTAAACACGCAGTGCTAGAGCCTCTAGCTGGAACTCAGGGTTCAGGCCGTGCTGTCGAGGGAACCACGACTTTTTGTGGGTGAAGCTTCTGGCACTAGAGGAGTTGAACACGCATCAGTAGAGCCTTTGGTCGGATCCCTGAGTTTCATGGGCGGCGCACACAACCAGCTCATCCACAGAGATCAACGGTCCAGTGGACAACAGAGGCAACGGACAGCGCAGAGAGCAGTGGCAGCTAGTACAATGGAGGTTTGTGCAAGAGTTGACTGCAGAGTGGGTCAGGGTAAGCTTAAGGACAGAAACAGTTGTGGGACATTTTGAGCCATTATAATGACATCTTCTCACTTAAACAGGAAGACAAGTTTTTGTGTGGACTACCGGCAGATTAATGCTATAACTAAACCTGATTCGTATCTGCTCCTGCACATTAATGATGCCTTGGACTAGCTTGCCTGCTCCACATCATTCAATTTGCTGGACCTACAGAGTGGGCACTTGCTCCAGACGCCAGAGAGAAAATGGCATTCACGGTGGCATTTCCGCCATCAGGCAGCAAGTTCATTGTAGACACGGATAGTGTCAAGTGCAGGATGGTAATGAGAGGGTAATCACATATTATAGCTACCATTTGAAAAAGCTGCTTAAGCACAATTACTGCATAAAGGGAACTGCTGGCTGTCGTGGTGGGGCTGTGCCAGTTCCAATGTCAACAGTCAATACCAGTTCAGACACTGCAAGTTGCTGCAACTGATCAGGAATAAAAACAGCAAGAAGTTAAGCAGAATAGAATACCTCAATTATGACCTTTACTGAGTTGAGTACCCTTTTAAACTTACAGAAAACAAAATCAGACAAACTAACCAAACATTCAAACCAAACAATTAGATTGGATTTAGATGAGTGGAAAACCAAAGTTCATATGTCCAAACATATCCATAACTTTTTCAGAGAGACTTCAGCTCCCTAGAGAGTAGTCCACAAGTCCAATAACAAGCAAAAAGCCAAAACTGTTCAAAGAAAGAAGGTTCAATACAGCACAAAAAAGATAGGTCTCACCCAGGTTCTTGGCTTGATCCCAGATATCAAAATAAATCCAAGAACAACAATGAGAAATGAAGAGGCTCTCATCAAAACTGCCACCACTCTCCTCTCTCCCTTACTTGCCCCTATTTCCAACTTAAAAGTCCCTGTTCCTGTCTAAACAGGAACTGATCAAAAAAGTAAGGAATAAACATAATACATTCAGAAAGACGTGAGACACACACCCACCCTTTTACAGTAAATTAGTCAGACAGTTTACACAGAACATTTAATGGAGTATAACTACTTGTGTGTGTATGTGAGTACCTAGATACTCAACAGGTTCTATTATCTGGCAGGGTCACACCGTGACCACGACCATCACTAGCTTGATACTGTAAACCCTGAGATGTTTTGTTGTGCCCTGGAAGAAGGTGCTGAACTCCAAGTAGGGCAGACACAGAAAGCAAGAGTGACTGAAAATTCCTACATCAAAAAAGAAAGACTCTTTGCTAGATATTATTTGCTAAATGTTATTAAAATAGTCTGCTGCAAAAGTTGGGTTTATTTCTTTTCCCTTCAAAAATATGTAATTTTGCCAGAGGTGCCCAACTTTTGCAAACTGGTGATATACTTCATCTATAAAAAAGCAGGAGCATTATAAATCAAAGAATTTTAATTTCCAATGACAAGTGATTGACATATGCAAAGCAATGATGGAACAAAAGTTAAAATTTCACAAAATTTGAAATTGCAGAAAGTGTCTCTGGCAAAGGAATAAATTACCCAAACTGGTTTTAAGAAAAAAAAAAAATAATAATAAAAATTACCTCAGTTGTAAGATGTAGGGCAGACACTGAAGGAAACTCCTCACTTCACTCTCTTCATCTGACCAGCCTCTCAGTTCCACTGTTTTTTTCTCTGCTTGGAGTTTTAGCACTTCTAGGAGGAGGGAGGCTTTTCTCTCTGAAAGGTTTATGATCCACTCTGCAGGAGCTGACTGGTAAACTGGCAGTAATGCTGGAAGAACAGTCCTGCCTGTTTCTGTCTCATACTGCTTCACATGAGAGTACAGATCCAGCAGGAAATCACACTCCTCATCAGATCCACATGAGGTAACTATCTTTACTGTTGTCTGGACATTTTCTTTTTGATGAAGAGCTGCTTGCAGACACAGATTCAGTTTAAATAACGCCACTCTCTTTTCCCATTCTTCAAATGATTCTCTCTGATTCTGTTTGGTAGTAAAACTACAGAAAACACATGCAAAGACTTATAAGAAAATAACACCAGTGGAGCAACACAGTGCTTCTCCACATTGCTTCTGTTATGTTCTTCAGTAGACACAGTGTGTTCCACATCTTTGTTCAAAAAAAGAGAGTGATGTTTAAACTTATATGGAGAGCAAAACTGCATTTTCACAAATATCTACTGTATTAAACAAAAAACAAGAGTACATACGAAAATAACAAATTAAATAAATGAAATTACCTGACAGAATATTATTCAAATTACCTAACAGAATATTATTCAACTAAGAATGCCACAACTGAGTAAGATACACTCCTAGTTTGAATGCATTTACTGTTGATGTATGAAGTGTGTCAAGTGTTATGTTGGGTGTGGAGTGAATGGTGTGTGTCAAATGTGTGGAGTGTGCATTTATTGTATGTAGAGTGTCTATTGCGTGTGTCTGGGGTCTGATGGTGACATGGATTGTCCAAAAACTTTTGCCTACAAAGTGTTGGTGTCAATATCTCAAAAATTGCAGGATGAGTTAGTGGGCAAAGATTCAGCAGAAAAATAAAAAGAAGAAGAAGAAGAAGAAGAAGAAGAAGAAGAAGAAGAAGAAGAAGAAGAAGAAGAAGACAATAGTGTCAGATATCCAACAGTATCGGATAACAGTAGTGTTGCATGTTGCATTTATGAAAATGCAGAGTGATTTCGCAGCTTAAGCCTGTTAACATGTTGCTAGGTGTTTGCTTTAGCATTGCTAGGTAGTTTTTAAGGTGTTGCAAGGCGGTTTGTAACATTTAGCAACAGTCAGTTAGTAAAACAGTAGATTCTCGACTAGACATCTGAGTATTTTAAATTATGGCAAAATGTAACAAAGCTTATCATCAGTTTGCTAATAATAATTTATTCACTAATTAGCTGCAGAATGAAGTTTCTCCATGTTCTGCACCGTCTATGCAGAAAAGCTAAATTCTAAAAGGTAAGATGTTTTCAACAATACAGATGGTTGAAAGGGGAATTAAAGAGTGTGCCCGAAAGTTTAACATCACTTTGGCAGAGGATGAAGATATGATTTAGGTGAGGGGGCCCCAAGTGAGGTTTTGCTTAGGGCCCCGGGAAGGCTAGGACCAGCAGGACCATATTGTTCACACACACACACACACACACACACACTTTCTCACGTTTGTGTGCATATTCTTTGTTTGTCTACCACTGTGGTCTTCAGGAACCCTCTTCCTGAAGAGTTCAGTTCCAACCTGTATCCAATAAGCTGCCTTATCTTTACTTAACTCTAATACATCTGATCCAGCCAACCAGGGACTTGGAAAGAGGTTGATTAGCTGGAGCAGTTGTGGCAAATTGTGGTTGGAACTAGGTTGGGCAGGAAAGTAGCTCTCCAGGAGAGGGTTTGGAGACTACTGGCCTATCATTACTACTCAGGAGTAATTAATAAAAGTGTGGCCTACAAGGTCTCGGCTGAAACTTGAACAATGAAACAGCAGACTTGAAAATATGGCATCTAATTCACTGAGGTAGCATTAAACTCCTCCTGTCTTTCCAGAAAGACATTGCAACGTTGTTTGTAACAGCTTATTTGGGAAGTTTCCAAAATCTGGGAAACTCCTGCTCTTAAATGTCTAAATATGATCACTTGCAAGGGTTACTCACTGAACAGAGCTGATGGATGGTAGCCATGTGGAAATGGTCCTGCAGAAAGCATCACTGAGCTGTTGTGGGTTTTCATCACGGCACAGATGAAGGATTATTGGATCTGCACTTTGGGTTATGATTTCTCCAGCTTGTTGAAGTAAAGCTTTCTGAATGGTAATTGGGAGGTAAATTTCATTTCCACACAAAAGAAGGAGGTTTATTAAATAACTCTGCTGCTCACATTTCAGAGAGGTTGTCCACACTTGGCAGAGAGTCGTTGACAAATCCCTGAAAGTAAAAAATATAACAACAACAATAATAATAATAATTATCAGAATTTAATATATAATGTTATATTTTACTGAATGGTAAATACCTGAGGTTTTGTGAATGTCTGAGAATCGTCTTCAGCCCTGAAAAAGACACAACACTGTTCTCCAAATTAAGGTGAACTGGTTTGTCTCTGGATTGGCTGATCACAAAGGACACAGCACAGCACTGATGAGGGTCAAGATGTTCTTCACTCAAATCTAAACTATAGTCTACTCTCTCCAGGAACCGGAGACAAGCTTCAGAGGACTGAAATTCATTTAGGCACTGACAGAGGAAGACAGCATCAACAGAATACTCTTCATCTGGTTCATCATGTAGAAATGTGTTCAAGACTTTCTCAAAGAACCCATCAAAGGTTCCTTTCAGCTGGTTGGGTGGGAAGAGGCACTTTAGAAGAGGGATGTTGGTTTCTGATAAAAGCCCACACAGAAAAGGAATCACATATTTCATGTGCTTACTCTCTTCAGTCTGACAAAGCTGGAGTACTTCATCAAGTTTTTGGGGTTTTTCCAGAAGCCACAGGGCAGAGAAGAACTCCTGTATTGTGTTGTGAAGAAATGAACAGAATGTCCTGGCAAATGCTGGTGACACAACTGACACTGATCTCAGAAAAACACCAGCAATGCAACTGTCACTGTAATCAAATTCCAGGTTGATAGTCTTTAGCTTGGTTGCACTGAATGCGCTCTCTGCCAAAAGCAAGATTGTGTCCTTGCAGCCTTTAATATGTGCATCTAATTGCCCCAGTTTCTTCTTTCCATGCCTCTGAATGCAATGACGAAAAATTCGTATATACAACTCAGTAGCTGTGCATTGTTTATGAGCACCTTCAGATGTATAGTAGGAAAAGCAGGCTGACACCATGAAAGCATACATTGGGACGTGGCAGAGACTGAACAGTGCTGGATTGTCTACCACACTATTGACCAATTCTGGATCCTGATCTGGCATTTGGGTTAAGTAAGTATAAATGGACTCTTCATTGAAGCCTTGCACATATACTTTGCATGTTGGCCAGTCAAAGAAGTCATCATCCTCTGTTTCTGGCCTGCATGTTACCAAAATCTTAGCTTCAGGCAGAAGTTCATGATGTATAATCCTCAGTAAAGTGGAGTTGTCATGAAAGTCACTGATCCCATCAAAAATAATAGTGACTTTTTCAGAGTAGTCTTCAAGATACTGAGTAATTTCTTCAGCCTTTTGCCTCAGATCTGCATTTGACATTATCAAACTATCCAAAAGCAGACTTTGCAGGTTAGAAGTGGTTGGGATATTCATCAGCATGTTCTTATCAAAATAAAACATGAAGTCAAGGTTATCATCATGCCTCTCTGCCCAGAAATAGAGCATTTGCTTAACAGCTGTTGTCTTCCCAATTCCAGGTTTTCCTACTAATAGGATGCTTTTCTCCTGGCTATTAAGCAGATCTTCAGGGGAATATCTGCATGTGTCCTTAGGTATGTAGGATCTCAGCTTTTTCCCCCGGGGTTTCTTAGATTTCTTGCTTTTGTGAATGATTTTGTTATGTGGTTTGTTCTTTTCTGTGTTTGTATCCAACACAAGAGGAATGTAAGTAAATTTTTGTTTGGCATTCCCTCCAAAGAAATGATTGCTCTGTTTCCATTGCTGATCTAGAATTTGTTTTGCTTTTGTCTTTAAAAGGGTCCAAAACTCATGACATGAGGTGGGTCCTAAAATAATAGGAACAAAAGAGAGAGGTGAATATTGAGAACCTTTCACATTAATTAAAATCCTTTGTTCTTTTGCATTTTATACTGGCATTTCAGTTTTAAAGGAATGGTACAGTTTTAGATTTAAAAAATTTAAAAAATTTTAATTAAAAAAAATTATATTTGCTTAATTTTACAAATACTTGAGCATGATTCTCATATATATATATATATATATATATATATATATATATATATATATATATATATATATATATATATATATATATATATATATATATATATATATACACACACACACACATACATATATATATGTATATATATTCTGAAATCATGCTTACCATTACGGTCATCTGACTCCTCCCCAAAGGAGAAGTGGCTGATCCAGATGTGTAGTTCAGGAGGCAAGACAGATTTCCTCTCAAGATCCAGTATCCTTAGAAACTCATAGCAGGCATCCTTCCCCTTGTTCGTGATCCAGTCCAATATCTTTCTGCTTTTTCTGCATTTTTCAGGTATGGCCTCAAGGTCACTAACTTCAGTGTTGTTCAAAACCTTCTTCTGGTAAAGTTTTTCAATAATAAGAGGCAAGTTCTTCAGCTGTTCAATCAGGTGTATCCGGGCATCACTAACATAATCTTGGGCACACTGAACTGAACAAGCCATGTTCGTACTGTAGATTCTTCATGAAGAAGCTAAGCCAACCCACCCCTGACCTGTTGGAAGTCACAAAAATTAGGTTTTTGTGCAGTTAGCTGTGCCAAATCAGTTTAATGAAACACATATCTTACGAAATTAATTCATGAAGTATTAATCAATACACTGACAGGTCACTTTATAAGAAACACCTGTACACTTGTTCTATAATTACATATATGTCCTCTTCTGTCTGACAAGACAGTTTAAACTGATGGTGGTGAAGGAATAGTGTGGGGGAAATTTTCTTGGCACAAATTCAATGGAGCACTGCTTGTACCCCACAGCAGTATTTTTGCTGACCATGTGGTATAACTTTAAGACCACAATTTATCCATCTTCTAATGGCTACTTCCTGATTTATAATGTGCCTTGTCACAAAGCACAAGTTATCCCAAACTGCCCCATGAACATGGCAGTGAGTACAATGTACAACCCCATTTCCGAAAACGTTGGGACGCTGTGCAAAATGTACATAAAAACAAAATGCAATGATGTGCAAATCACGTCTTCTTTTAAAAACACTCTGTAAGCGTTTGGGAACTGAGAAGACCAACTGCTGTCGTTTTGAAAGTGAAATGTTTCCCCATTCTTGCTTGATGCAAGATTTCAACTGCTTAACAGTTCGGGGTCTCCTTTGTCATTTTCACTTCACAATGCGCCAAATGTTATCAGTGAGTGACAGGTCTGGACTGCAGCCAGGTCAGTTTAGCACCCAGACACTTTTACTATGCAGCCATGCTGCTGTAATTCATGCAGAATGTGGTTTAACATTGTCTTGCTGAAATAATAAAGGCCCTCCCTGAAAAAGACGTCGTCTGTATGGCAGCACATGTTGCTCCAAAACCTGTATGTATCGTTCAGCATTAATGGCGCCTTCACAGATGTGAAAGTCACACATGCCATGTGCACTAATGCCCCCCCATAACATCACAGATGCTGGCTTTTACACGGTGACTGATAACAAGCCAGATGGTCCCTCTACTGTTTACCCAGAGGATGCACCATCCAGGGTTTCCAAAAAGAATTTAAAGTTTTGATTCATCAGACCACAGGACATCTTTTTTTTCTTTTTCTTTAGTTTTTTCTTTTCAGGGTATTGTGGATGCAGTAATGAACCATGTTCACAGACAGTGCTTTTCAGAAGTGTTCCTGAGCCCATGCAGTGATTTCTACTACAGAATTGTGTTTGTTTTTAATGCAGTGCCGCCTGAGGGCCCAAAGATCATGGTCAGCCAATATCGGTTTTCAGTCTTGTCGCATGCATACAGAGATTTCTCTGGATTCTCTGAATCTTTTAATGATATTATGTACCATAGATGAGTTCTTTGTTATTTTATGCTGAGAAACATTCTTTTTGAACTGTTGCACTATTTGCCCATGCAGTCTTTCACAGAGTGAATCCCTCCCCATCTTACTTCTGAAAGACTCAGCCTCTCTGGGATGCTCTTTTATACTCAATCTTGTTACTGACCTGTTGCCAATTATCCTAATTAGTTGTAAGATGTTCCACCATTTGTTTTCTTTTAGCATTACACAACTTCACCAGTCTTTTGTTACCCTGTCCCAACTTTTTTGGAATGTGTTGTTGGCATCAAATTCAAAATGGGCACATATTTTTCAAAATTTCAACTTTTGAAATGTTGTCTTTGTACTATTGTCAATTAAATATAGGGTTTAAATGATCTGCCCATTATCGTATTCTGTTTTTATTTACATTTTGCACAGTGTCCCCACTCTTTTGGAAACAGCATTGAGTCTCACTGATCTTCTCAATCACCACCTCTCATCTTTGGGATGTGGTACAATGAGATATTTGCAGCATGAATATTCAGCAGACAAACTGCAGCAATTACATGATGCAATCATATCAACAAAACCAGAATCTCTAAGAAATGTTTCCAGCACCTTGTTGAGTGCATGCCACTAAGAATTCAGACTGTTCTGTGAGTTCCCCGGTACTAGAATGGTGTTTCAAATAAAACTGTCAATTAAATATAGGGTTTAAATAATTTGCCCATTATCGTATTCTGTTTTTATTTACATTTTGCACAGCGTCCCAACTCTTTTGGAAACAGGGCTGTACCTCACTGACCTTCTCAATCACCACATCTCATCTTTAGGATGTGGTACAAAGGGATTTGCAGCATGAATATTCAGCAGACAAAGTGCAGCAATTACATGATGCAATCATATCAACGAAAACCAGAATCTCTAAGAAATGTTTCCAGCACCTTGTCGAGTGCATGCCGCCAAGAATTCAGACTATTCTGTGAGCTGCCTAGTACTAGAATGGGTTTCTAATAAAATTTCCAGTAAGTGTAAATATATCAGACTTATACATTTAATTCAGTTAATTCATTATTTAGTTGCCTAATATCATTCATGTTGAAAACAGAAATTGTACAAACGTACACAAGCTGACTTGATAGAGATACTCCTAATGAATCCTACTGTGTCCTATTCACATTACATGTAATTGGTACAGTTATTCTAGATCTGGTTGGTTACAGCTTGCAATAACTTAATTTTATATAACTGGCAATTATTGCCCAGCTAATGAAAATGCTACCAAGTACAGCTGCATTCTCAGATCCATTTAGTGGTTCACACACACACAGAGAGTCATGTGAAGTAAGTACTCTGTATACACATTATGGACAAAAGTATTGGGACACCTACACATGACACCCACAGGGGCTTTTATGACATCCCATACTAAACCCATAGGCATTCATATGGAGTTGGTCCCCCCTTTGCAGCTTTAACAGCTTCCACTCTTCTGGGAAGCTTTCTACTAGACTTGAGAGTGTCTGTGGCGTGGTTTACACCCTTCCCCTCAATGCTTGGCACTGTTCATTTTGATCTTATGGTTGTGTGTAGCTGCCTGGACATGGAAACCCATTTCGTAAAGCTCCTGATGCACAGTTCTTTTGCTGATGTTACTTCCAGAGGCAATTTGGAACTCGTTAATGAGTGATTCAGCAGAGGATAGGCACTGCACTTCAACACTCACCAGCCCCACTCTGTGAGTTTGTGTGGTCTACCGCTTCGTGGCTAAGCTGTTGTTGCGTTTAAAGTCACTGAGCTCATCAGTACGACCTATTCTTCTGCCATTGTTTATCTATTGAGATTGCATGGCTATGTGCTTAATTTTATCCACCTGTTAGCAATGGGTATGGCTGAAACACCTGAATTAAATAATTAGGAGGGGTGCCCCAACACTTTTTGACCATACAGTGTACGTTAAAACCTAGCAGATGTACGAACCACTACTTTAACAGAACTACTGCCATTCTTCTAAAGCATTTTAATAGCTTAAGAACAGCAACAACAAAAAATTGTTAGTGACCAAGATGAACTGGTGCTCTGCAGGATCAAAGCCTTTAAAAAAATTAAGAATAAAGTAAATCCATCATTAAAACATTGAGTAAACCAAAATATCCAACCTCAATCTAATGCTATTTTTATAGGTCTTTTTATATATGTTGCATGCCTACTCATAAAGATGACATATACAATGTCCAATAGGATTAAATTTTCCACTATAGAATTTCTCCACTGAATCTGCTCTTCAAGGTAAGTACTCCAGTTAATAGTTTACTTTCGTGAGACATACAGAGAGTTACCAAATTGAGAACACCAAAAACTGACATCATCTTTAATGGAATTAAATTCTTGTGAAAAGAAAAAAAAAAAACTGCTCTAAATTGTTTGGTAAACAGAAATAAATGTTTCCTTTTAACTATATTATGTATATTAAATGAAACAAAAGATAAACTTGACATACTGCAACGAATAGTAAAAACAATGTACAAAGAAACAGAAATTAACTGTAATGTAAGTTAGTAGTCAAAAGGATTTAAGATCCTCACCCACTAAAGAGTAATGTTAAACGATGTGTTAAATGATGTGGCTGAACATTTTTTTTTAAATTTTATTTTGATTTTTTTTGGCTTTCCTCACATTTTTAAACTACAACACCCAAGGGCAAAGCAGATATAAGGGAAAAGGTTGAGCAAATGCACCTGGTCTCCATTTTCTGCTTATCGTGTCCATATTTAAATGCATATTTTAACATTATTTAGCCAATTTTGTACATCAACAATAAATTCAGCACAAAACATAACCTGAAGAGAACACTTACAGCACAACCAATACTCATAACACTGGTTAGAACGGCTACCAATTCAAAATTATATCGGCGTCTTATTCTAAGCCAAAATCCCAAGTATTTTTTATTACTGAAAAGAGGTTGTGTTTGGGTAATTTGACGCTACCACCAGAATCCAACAAGAAAACGAAAAAAGACGTCGCATCAGTGTTGCTGGCCTGGTTGTGGGCAGAGTTGCCAGGTTTGCGGTCTTCCTGCCTAATTGGGCTTGTTTGAAAACGTAGTTCTTGGTGAAGTTTTTTAAGTAGCTGGGTGCTTTTTTGGGGGGGCTATTTTCAAAATGTACTGCCGCCACCAAAAAGAGTGATTGCAGACAGCAGAACATGAAAATGAATCCTCTAATGAATGTATATTGTTCCTGGTTTCAAAATGATACAGTAACTGATTACATGGCTTTTCTTGAGTTGACTCAACTTGAGAACACAAGAGTTCACACAACTCAAAGCCCTTAGTTGACTCAAAAGTTCTCTTATTTAGTTCTGCACTAAACTATTTTTCCAACAAATAAACCGAGATTTACATATATTTTTCTCAGATTGCCTCAGAATTATACACAGTACTATATATACGCAATTTACAGCCGTACATTTTCATTTGCATTGGGAAAACTTGAGGCTGGAGACCACAGGACCTGGCAACCCTGTCTGTGTGGCCGGTTTCAAACAATGCAGTGATACAGGAGAGAAACATTCAGCACCTACCAAAATCTGTTCAAACATGCTGGAGGAGCTGAAGCGAGGTTTCCTATCGGAAGGTTTTCTTACTTGAGTCGCCACACGTAGAGAAGAAAGACAGGATGTGAAAACCGGTCAAGCGGATGAAGATAAATCATGACAAGCAGAAACATTCTTCAGTCTCCAAATCTGAGAGTCCGACAAACGTCTAAAAGACATTACATCAAAAAGACAATTTTAAGTTGATGCTGGACTTTAGAAAAAACTCGGAAACGGGAAGTATTGACAGTTTGTGAGGAACTTTGAGCTGCTGTTGGTAGTAATTTTATTAATATCGGTATTACCTTTAGTTCGGTGCTTCGACAGAACACTGACTGAGTTCGGTTCAGGTAGTCTAATACCTTTTCGCCAGCTTTTCCCCGTTTCACGTAGAAATATTGTATAATACAGGAGCTTTTGCCGTTGGTCTTGCACGTCGCGCGAGAACGTTTGAAAAGCGGAACCATCTCTTATACCGCGAGCTGCAGTGACGCAAGTAGTAGTCATTTGCATAAAATCAGAGATGATATAAAGGTATTCAAGGCCCAGATCTGCAAAACGACTGAAGAATTTTCACCTACAGAGGGCCATGTTGTTACTCTACAGACGTTAAAAATTTGCGAGTAAAGACGGAAATAACGTGTGCACACACAAAATATTTGTGAGTGTGGACGGCCAAACATCTCTATCTACCCATGAACATTTGTGACATCTGTACATGTGAATTTTTATTACGTGCGTGCGAAATATACTGACAGCGGCCGGATTTTAAAGCTGTAGGTCTAAAAATGATCTACTGGAGTTTTCCGAAGTGCGCTGCTGCTCCCTGCTGGACCTCAGAGGTATTACAGCTCCACATAAACGATCTGATAAGAAAACCTTGAAGTACAGTTACTAAAATCAAGGTACCTACAATAACAGTCATATAATGGAACAACTGAGTATTCATTTAAATTGTTAAAAGACACAGGGACACATACACTTGAACATACAAGTTTCTTTTAAGAACTAGAACTGAAACTTCCTTTCGAATATTCTCTTCTGTAGATGCTTTCTATGAGGATTCTCTCCAACAGCTTCCTAAAACAATACTAAATTTAATATGCTATTTCAGATGTGTTTCTACATCTGCCTCGTGACCATTTAATTCCTGTGTACATAATCTAGATGACTGTAAACATAGATGACTGTAAACACTTGCCCACACACACACTCCCCCAAAGATTGTGTCAGTGATTTAATTTTTTTTTAAATGGTAATTGGGCCTTCAATGTCATGTATGTTGTATGGATTCTCTCCCCATTCAGATAGGAACCTGGTCATGTATAGCTGGAAATAACTGCCCGCTGATGTTGCCAAGATGGCCACTGAGTGAATAATGTATAAGGCCTTTGATAAGGCCAGAAAGGGGCCTGTAAGCTGGCGGCTGGTGTAGGTGCATTTTCGGGAACACTTGCGAGTTTTATTCCCCAGCTTTTCCCCTTTAAAGCTCTTATTTTTGTGATGGGTTACAAGCTGAAAGAGGTTGTATAAATAACTGAACCTGCTTAACCTCGTGAATTTGTGTTTTTGCCTTAAATTTATTAAAAAACCTTTACCTCAGACATTTTCCTGTCAGTTAACTATCTTATACTAGCTAGTTCATTTGGATCATAGACTAACTGCTATGGCTGGTGAAGGAGAGAAACGTTCACGGCATGAAATGTATTTGTATGCTAAGGAAGCAACAAGAACATGAAAGAAGACACAAGTAGTGCTAAGAGCAAGAAGAAAAAAGACCTCAGTGATGGACCTGTACAACCTCGTAAATAAAGGTCTGACAGAATTGAATCCATAGTATCAGAATGCAGGAAGCTTTGTGGGAGAAGGTAGACTGTGTTCACAATGGGGTGGGTGGGGTTCGAATTGCAATTGATGAGCTAAGGCAAAAATATTCCACCTATCAGCACAAACTGCAGACACGAAAGAAAAGTTTGCCAGTAGTAAACGTTATGGCACGAGGTGGAATCTGCAGTTATACATTCTTGTGGACGACCAGAAGGAAGATGTAAAATCCATTGCTATAGAGTCGTGTTGCACTGTAATACCGTTAATGTTGCCATGGTTGATGTGGTTCATCACATTAGAAGACTCAACAGCTACAGTTCATGACCAAGATCGGTGATTATATGATTCATCTCACGACCTGAAAGGGACATGCTCTGGAAGGCAGTTAAGAGAGGTGAGTACCTAAAGGCGAATGAGCCACAATTCAGAGGATCTCATAGCAGCTGACAAAGCAGCAAGACAACACCTGTGCCCAAGGTGGAGCGAAAAGCATACATTGATGGAAAACAAATTCTGCTTAACCAGAACAGTATGGAGCATTAACATGGTGCATGAACCATCAGCAGGTACTTTGCCTAGCTAAAAGATGCAGAACACTTTTTCGTTTCTTCTTCAGTTCTTTTAAGGACCTGTTCTAATTCATGAGAAATAGACAATGAATGTTTTTGGCTGAAATGTTAGTCATGTCTATTCATATGTGTGACTAAATTTAATATCGTGAGGTACCTTATTCTCATACCACCTTCATAGATACATTTTAATATGTTACATGTCTGAGTTCTTTAGTCTTCACACCCTTGTTTATTGGAGTTATTACGGGAGGAGGGGGTGGCTGGATGGTGGCTTTGTACAAGGTTAACAAAGATACTTGGTGGTAATTCAGTGTTCTTTTTGTCACATTTTCATTCTGTCTATTTCATTGGTTTCTCTTAATGGCAGGGGCTTGTGCAACATAAACAAAAGAAAATCTATTTTTTTATTCTTACAGCAAAGAAGGGCTGATGTTTATTTTCTACAAGTAACACAACTGTACTTGAGATTTTCATTTCTGGAAGAATTCATGAGGAAATGAAATATAGGGGTAAGGTAGTATAAAGTGAAGATTACAACAAAGGCAGATTGCAACTTCTTGTGCTGAATGACATGAGTAGTTAAAATTTATGGGGAAAAGTATATATCTTCAAACTTATATACAAACGCCAGTATCATACTTGGGGGAGATTTTAACACATTCTCAGATGACAGCCTAGACAGATGGCCTCCTAAAGCAATGCATAGTGAAAACAAAAATAGGATATTTAGCTTATCCACTTATCTTGGTCTTGTGGATATAGGGAGAAAAACTACTCATAAGCTTTGATGTTTACATGGCAAAACAGTGACCTTTCTGTGCAGTCCTATAATGATTCATGGCTGATCTCTGAAGTTCTAAGCTATAATGTAGAAAACATTAGGCCTGTACTTCTCACAGATAATAGATCTGTTTATATATCAATTAATGCAGCTGATGAGAAGGATGACATTAGATAGTGTAGGGATTACTGGATGTTAAGCAATTCATAACATTACTAGAGACCTCAAACATAAGACTGTTGATATTATCAAAAAGCTTGTAGCACTAACCAATTTGGGTTATACTGGGAAATGATGAAATATGAAGTTAAATGTTTGGCTAATAGAATGAGTAAAAAGATTGCCAAGAAAAAAACAGGCAAGAAAGGAATCTATTATTAAATAAATTATTACTCTTAGTGATAAACCAAATTTAAGCAAAGAAGATGTTCGGGATATGGTGAAATTACCAGGGAGTTTAGACAGAATTTATGAGGAAAAAGGGTTCATTTATCAGATCAAGATGTAATTGGTTTGAGAAAGGGTGAAAAAATACCATTTTTTATGGCCTAGAAAGACAAAACTGATAGAAAGGGGAAACTATTGATTAATAAATTGTGCATAAAAGGTGTGATTACAAATGATTTACAAAATATTTTAAAACACATTTCTGATTTTTATCAATCTCTGTATTATACACTCAGAAAAAAAGGTACTATGTCACTGGGGTGCTACCCTCAAGGGTGTATCTCAGTACCTTTAGTCAGGGAACATGATTGTACCATAATCCACTGAAATTATATTTTCAAAGTTGTATTGACTCCACACACCCCGTCTCGTCTCCAGGCTTTTTATTTTATTGTTCTGTTTTAAAACATTATGTCATGAAAAGGTGCAAATACATACTTTTCACATGGAAAAAAACTTTTGTATGTTTGAGGGTACATTTACATTGTTTGTACCTTGATGAACGTAAAATGTACCTGCACAGAACCTTTATTTCTCACAGTTTAGCAATGGGATAGAGTGTTGATGCACAATGAATGTTTTGTTAATGATGAACTGAGAGATGTGTGTGATAAGCATCAGTGAGATTATTGACAACATCAGTAATCTTAAAGATAACACACCCCCTGGTAATGATGGGCTATCTGGTGAATTTTATTTAAAAAAAAATCAGGATATTATTAGTCCATTTATTCTCTTAGTGTTTGTTGAAGCTATAGATGAACGTATTTTGCCTTCCTCCCTTAGACAAGGTATAACTACTCTAATACTCCAACTTAACAAGGATATACTTTCATTTGATAATTGGAGACCCATCACTCTATTAAACAATGATGCCAACTTATTTGCATTTATTTAAATGAGATACAGGTGAAAACAGTTCAGTAGTTAGGTCACACATCTTACAAGTATAAATATGACACTTTACTTAAGGGGCAGAGAAAATATACATAGCTCTGTCATAGCAGAGTATCAGTATCAAAACCTTCACAGTATAACTACAACAACAGTAGATTTTCATTTCAGAGGTACCACCAAGTGTCAAAGCATCATCTACTCATCTTTGTTTAATTTTGCAATCAGTTTCACTTGTCAAATTTTGTAACAAGCACTATTATGTGTTTGACACACCAAAAATACACTGAGCTACACAGTGAATTGTCATAACGTGCTGTCATTTCACCCAGAAAGTGGTGATATGTCAACTTGACATTGACGTTGACAAAAGCAGCATTTATGACACCTGCAGCTTATTGGAATAAGCCTTTATAAATATTTATGTAGGTTTATTTAGTTGTCATGAAAAGCTTATGAAATTTACATGTAGTTTTCTGAACCTACAGTAAAGTGTTACCCTTTTCTTGAACCCTGCTTCATAACCATGGTATAAACATGTTTTGGCACACGTCATATGCTGTCATGGCAGATTATGGCAGGTGATTTAACAGTGCCATGTTACCATTACTTGTAATTGTCAATGCAGACATAATGTTGGATGTCATGACAGTTTTGCTAAGCATACTCATTAGCTTATGTTTTGTGACAATTGTAAAATCCTAAAAGTTTTTTAAAGATTTTCTTTGAATAATTATAATAACTGATTTCTTTAATACAACCCCATTTCCAAAAAAGTTGGGATGCTGTGCAAAATGTAAATAAAAACAAAATGCAATGATGTGCAAATCATTTAAACCTTGTATTTCATTGAAAATAGTACAAAGACAACATATCAGAATTTGATGCCAACAACACATTCCAAAA